GATCCGAAATATATATATTAATATAAGTATTACTTTTATTAATACTTAACTAATATAATATAGCCTTAATAAAATACTTAATTAATTATAAAGTATAATTAGTATTTTAGTATTATAATAATAAAATAAGAGGTTTAGAGAAATTAAAAAGGATATTTTAAAGTTATTAAATAAATTAAAAATAAGAAGTAGGTTTTGATTATTTAGAGAGTAATTAATATATTACGGCGGGATTATTAAGATTTAATAATAGCTATGGCCGGCTATAGTTAGTTATAAAGTTTTATTACGTAATAAAAACACTCGATATTAACCTTAATAAACTAGCTTACTTATAAAGGCGAAGATAGCCCTTAATAAGGCGGACCGGACCCTAAAGGGTAACGGGATTATATTTTTAAAAGAAATTATATAGTATAGTATATTTTTTAATTATATAATATACGTAATATACCCTAAGTACGTGCTTAATGTAATATAGTAATTTTAATATAAAAGCCGCTATATAATTTAGAATAAGTAAGCTACCCTTTTTATTACGTAGTAGTGCTAATTAAAAAAGTTAATAATAGAGGTTAGTTATAATAATTAGCTATAATAGTTAGCTATAATAGTTAGAAGCGGTCTTTTTTAATTATAAAAGTTCTAAACTTTAATAATAACGTAGATATTCTTCAAAAAAAAGGCTAAATTAGCTAATATTTACTACTTTTTAAAGCTTATAAAAATTCTTTTTATCCTTATTGCTTTTAATATTACTTAAAGCTATTCTCTATTTAAACTAAATAAATCTACTAAATAAATTTACTAAATAAACTTATTAATATATAAACTATTACTTTTCTAATAAGAACCTCTTAGTATATAATTAGTAATTAATAAGCTAAAAATGCCTATTAATAAGTCTACTCCTCTCGGGCTAAGTACCCTCTTTTACTAGCTTAATACTATAGCTATTATAACTAACATAAATATACTTAAAAAGTAATAAAGTACTTTTTAATAATATAAAATCTAACTAAATAATAATATAAATATTATAAATAACTAGGCTAATATAAATATTAAGATTTAGTATATTAACGTTAGTTTAGGAATTATATTTTATAAAACTAAAAATCTTTTTAATATAAGCTATATTATAAATATAAGGGAATATATAAGGGGGCTCTTTAACTTTTAATAAAAAGGAGTATATAATATAAGATTTGTTTACTTATATAGGCTAGTATTAAGAGGTTTTATATATATTAAAATAAATATAGCTCGCTTTTTAAATAGTTAGAATTATATAAGGGAAGGTCGGGAGCTATTTTAGTTAATAATTAGGTATAGAGCGTATTATACTTAGTTTTCTTTAATACGTAGTATATAATACGGCCTCGGCGGATTGCTCTATCGGGATGATTAGGGTTAGTATTAAATATCTTTATTATATATTTTAATAAAACTTTATAACTAATTATGACTAGCTATAGCCGTTACTAAGTAAAATAACCCCGCTATAATATATTAATTATTTTTTAAATAGCTAAAAACTACCCCCTACTTTTTGCCGTTTTTAATAGTACTAAATTCTTTTTCTTAATCCTTTTTAATTTACTCTTACGTAGCGATTTTAAAGTATTAATAATACTTAGGAATTAATTAAGTATTTAAAGGCTATTATATTATATTAGCTAGATACTAATTATAGTAATAGCTATATTAATATTTCCGATTTTTAAATTAATAATATTTAATTTATATTCTTTAAAATAATCGTACTATAGTTCGGGGTTCTTTAGTATAATACTTATATAATAGTTTTTTTTCCGGCTTTATAAGTATAAAAGATCGACCTTAATAGGATGACGTTTTTAAAAAAGATTATATAATAGAATATACTTTTTAATTATATAATATATATAATATATCTTAAGTACGCGCTTAACGTAATATACTAATTTTAATATAAAAACTACTATTTAATTTAGTATAAATAAACTACCTTACTACTTATTAATAATAAACTAAGTAATATACTTACGTAGTAGCGCTAGCTAAAAAAGTTAATAATAAAAGTCGGCCGTAATAATTAGTTATAATAGTTAGCCGTAATAGTTAAAGGCGGCCCTTAACTATAGAGGTTCTAAACTTTAATAATAACGTAGAGGTTTTTAAAAAAAAGGGCTAAATAGTATAATACTTATATAGTAGCTTTTTTCCGGCTTTATAAATATAAAAGATCAACCTTAATAAGATTACGCTTTTAAAAGAAATTATATAATATAATATACTTTTTAACTATATAATACGCATAATATATCCTAAGTACGTACTTAACGTAATATAATAATTTTAATATAAAAACCGCTATTTAATTTAAAATAAGTAAGCTATTTTTTACGTAGTGGCGCTAATTAAAAAGGTTAATAATAAAAGTTAGCTATAATAATTAGTTATAATAGTTAGTTATAATAATTAAAAGCGGCCCTTAATTATAAAGGTTCTAAACTTTAATAATAATGTAGAGGTTTTTTAAAAAAAGGCTAAATAGGCTAATATTTATTACTTTTTTATTATACTAGAGCTTATAAAGATTTTTTCTATCCTCATCGCTTTTAATATTACCTAAAGCTATTCTATTTAAACTAAATAAATTTACTAAATAAATTTACTAAATAAATTTACTAAATAAATTTACTAAATAAATTTACTAAATGAATTATTTAATAAATCTACTAAATAAACTTATTAATATATAAACTACTATTTAAATAGCTAGTTAAATAACTAGTTAAGAAGTTAGTTAGTTAAAATACTACTTTAACGAGAACCTATTTCAAAAATACTCGTTAATAAGTCTACTCCTCTTAAGCTAAGCGCCCTTAGCTAGCTCGACGTTATAATTATTATAACTAATATAAGTATACCTAAAAATTAGTAAAGTACTTTTTAATAATATAGAATTTAGCTAAGTAATAATATAAATATTATAAATAGCTAGGCTAATATAAATATTAAGATTTAATATATTAATATTAACTTAGTTATAATAATTATAATAAATAGGCTAGAGGTATATAAAATTAAAATAATAAGCTAGTACTTTAAATAGCTCTTATAAGACCCCCTAGGTAATAATAATACTTATATAAAAAAATAAATTATATTAAACCTAGCTACTTATATAGGCTAGTATTAAGAAGTTTTATATATTTTAAAATAAATAAAGCTTATTTTATAAGCGAGTAATAAAAGGTTAGGAGTTAATAAAAAGGAGATAATAGTCGAGTTAATTAATTACTATTTTAGTTCGTAATTAGGTATAGAGTATATTATACTTAGCTTTTTTTTAATACGTAATATATAGTACGGCCCCGGCGGATTACTCTGTCAGGGGGAGTATAATAATTATAAAATTAAACTTTTAGCTTTTAAAATATCCTTATAAATTAATAAGTTAGCGTCTTAGTATTTTAATAATATATATTTAAAATAAATATTTAATAATAATAATAATAATAATAATAATAATAATAATAATAATAATAATAATAATAATAATAATAATAATAATAATAATAATAATAATAATAATAATAATAATAATAATAGCGTAATAATAATAATAATAATATAATAATGATAAATAATAAGAGAAGAAGTATTTTCGATTTTAATAAAAGAAACGAGGTAACGAATATATATATATATATATATATATAAGATAGTAATAGCGCAATAGCAATAGACAGTAAGGGAAGCGTTTTTCGACTTTAATAAAAAAAACGAGGTAATAAATATATATATATATATATATATAAGTAAAGTTAAAAGTACTAGGGCAGATATCGTAAGGTTAATATTATTTAATAATAGTAACGAGGGTATCTTTAATACTACTATTATAAACTATTATACTTAAAAAAGTAGCTAACTTAACTAAGTACGCGGGCTTATAAAATAATAATATTAAGTACTTATTATTATTTATAATTTATAATTATAAACTTTATAAAAAAAAAAGTTAAAAAGTTAAAAAAATCTAAAAAAATAGTTTAGTAAGATAGTATGAGTATTTACTAATACCGTATATTAATACTATATAAACGACATCGAGAATCGCCTAAGCAGCTAGTAAAGGCAGAATACTAAAATAAATAACTAATATTAAGAATTACCCGAATAGCTAATAAAAGTAAAATACTAAAATAAATATATATATATAATAAAGTGCCTAATATCGCCGTTAATCTATAATTATAAACTTTATAAAAAGGAAAGTTTAAAAAAGTAAAATTTTTTTAAAAAAATAGTCTAACGAGATAATAGGAATATTTACTAATACTATATATTAATACTATATAGTTAATATTAAGAATTGCCCGAGTAGCTAGTAAAAGTAGAAATAAAAAACAAATTAAGAAGTACCTAAGTAATTAGTAAAAGTAGAATATAAAAATAAATACTAATATTATTTAAAAGAGATTGAAAATTGCCCGAGTAGCTAGTAAAGGCCGAGTAATTAGAATAAATAATAATTAATAGCTGGCGCGCCCGTTTTGGCAGTGGCGCCGCACTAATCACTCCCTGAAAGGGCTACCCTGCAATATAGGCGAAGCCACTAATCTAGTACCAGTGAGAGATAAGCCAAGAAGCGTGCATTACATGGAGCGAGTGACCATCACTTACCCCTTTTCCTGGAACCTTGTCCCTTGGTACGGATATCCGTGCTTTTTGTGAGGTAGTCCGTACCAATCATTCTCTCCTCGAGGCATTTACCCCATTCTCTCATACCTTCCACTGGAGATACCCATGCTCAACCAGGCTGTCGGCGACGACAAACGACCGAGCACCCACCCTCCTGGAATGAAGCGGTACTACGTGTAGCCGTAACACATTCAATGCCGTGGGTGCGGTAGAGGGCGCGCTCCGGTCGACCAACTCGAAGTCCTCTTACCAGACTCCAAGCGTATCGAGTAGGTCCTCACTACACACACCTGCAGGTGCACAGGATGCCCTCACCCAAAACCATCAGCTCGGCTACCTTTTCGAACTCAGGATTGTCGCAGTCGCTGTCAGCATCGCTATACCACCGCGAGCAGACCCTCCAGACCCATCAATTACATCAATCGGATTCACCGCAATACCAGCAAGACCACCATCGACAACAACAACAGCCGTCTTATCAGAAGCAGCACAGACTCTCCAGGTCCTTCCCCTCGTCGCCGTCTTCAAATCACCTGGCTGCCCCCCGCTACCCGATCGGCACACGCTCCGACCGACCGCAGGCTCCAGTCTCATCTTCGCTTGGTTCTCGTCTTGACACAAGCACGACCTTTTCGCGCAAAACGCCGTCACCACTTCCACGAACATCGTCTCTTCTACCGCCCCCGCAACAGCCTACAACTCACTGTCCGTCAAGAAAGCCTGATGCCGTGATCCCTGAAGATTCTGACTCAAACTCGCCGTTGCACTACGAAGTGTCTTCGCATCTCCGGCCCTCCACCGCCCACTCGCGTGCGAGCAGCGCAGGCCTTTCGAGTGACGGTGCGAGAAACCTCAATCGCTGGTCTGCCTCGACAACATCAAGCCAAGCGTCGACCCAGGACAATCGCGCCGTCAACTCTCATGCACGCCGCGTGAGCATTGATGCGTCTGCACTATCCGCAACTAACAGCATATCGGCGCCTAGTCAGCCAAGTCAAAGGCTCCCGAGACACCGACGACGATCCAACTCTAGCGACGGCCTTTGGGAAAGTAACGGTGGAAGCAAGTTGCGCGCCTATTCACCATCTGGATTGACGCACAACGAAGGTCATTTCGCCCTATTCACATCCCATAACCACAACTCGTCCGCAACCAACAAGCTTGCAACACAAGGAAACGGCTTGCGAGCGCCAACGGGAGCCTCCCGTGCGCTCGAGACTGACCTCCTTACCGACCAAAACCGAACCTGGGATGCATTCTCCGGCCCGGGGCGGAGAGGATCAATTGAACAGCGTCGACAGCAGTCTTCTCGCGCAGCAATGCCATCCGAACGCAATGGGGAGGCCTACGAGACGAAGGGTCACTCCCGGAATTGGTCGCAGGCCGCCAAGGGGAGTACCGACACCACTGGGTCCTCGCGGGGCAAGGAAAGGGGAAATCGGCCGCCATCGCAAAAGGCCATGCTCTCACGAGCTTTACAAAAGGCGAATACGGCAGTTCAGCTAGACAACGCGCAGAACTTTGAGGGTGCGAGGCATTCATATGCGGAGGCATGTGAGCTGCTACACCAAGTGCTTGCTAGGACATCCACCGAGGAGGACAGACGAAAGTTGGAGGCGATCGTGAGTTTCACGGTGTCATGTTCTAACCGGCCGAAACCAAAGCTAACCAGATCAAGCGTCGAACATACACCAGTCGCATTGAAGAATTGGATCAGATGGTTCCGGTGCGGCAAGTTACGGAAGGCAAAGCACTGCCGGCTAGACCTGAAAGCCTCGGCCTGCGCTTGAATCCTACCTTACAGTTCGACGACGACGATGAAGATTTGGAGGATACGGATGGGTTAGAGACTGCGACACTGGCCAGGATATTGAGGGAGGGAAATCAACAAGCAGCCAGCTACAGTGGTTCTAGTCTGGCCATTTCACGAATGCATGGTCTGGGGGATCGACAAAGGAGTACTTCTGCAAGGTTGCCGGAGCAGTATCCCTTACAGTCCTCCTTCTCACGATCTCCGCTTCGGGATCGTGCATCAGACGATCAACTCATCTTCCAAATACCCACAGACGACGCCTACATGCCACCGCCACTCTCACCTAGACGCATCCCGTCACCCAAGCCTGACGGCCAAGGTAGTCCCGATGGACCCATCAGATCCGATTTCTCCCTATCAGCAAGACGGACTAGCCAGAGTTCTCGACATGTCAGGGACTCAAGCAGAGAGTCCAATTCATGGTTGGACCCCATTGATGAGTCTGGAGGCTCCACAGCGTCCTCTGTTCATTCCAGGTCGTCATCTGCAGTTATAAGGCGCAAGCACATACGGGCTCCGAGTGGCGCTACGGAAGCAGAGTTTGACGCGGCGTTAGACGCTGCAGTCGAAGCAGCCTACGACGATGGGTATGAGCCGATGGGCTTTTCTGATCTAGAAACTCAAGGATCGGATGATCCGATTGTAGCGAAAGCCTTGAGAAAGGTTGAGCTGGCCAAAGAGCGGGTCCGCCAAACGGAGAGAGAAGCTATTGCACAAGCCAATGAGAGAGAGCGGCTTGCGCGAAGTCAAATGGACCAGCAGTCCGACGAAGATGTCGTCCGTGAAGGCTTTTTCGATGACGGATCATCAGACGAAGAGGAGCGCATTCTCGACGAGATCACTCGAGACTACTCGGTTGACGACTTCGCCTTTAACTTAGCCTCTCATCAGGCTGCAGCTAGGACTTCGGGCTCAAGTGATTTGGTCCAGTCGTCCTGGCAGGCATCCGTTACTCCAACCGATGCCGTAGGTGGTGATGTTTTCTCCTCTCTTATCGAGCCCATCACCACAAATAACTTTCCAAGTGTCGGAGGCCCTGCAGTTCCGCCACCAGCACAAGCTTTGCCAGAATTGCCTGGTAAAAAGCCTTTATCAGGGGCAACGCCATCGCCAGGCCCTGGGCAAAGTGTACGAAGCAGGCGGATGTCAGGACAAAATCCCAAGCAACTGAAGATTGAAACTACGAAGCTTGCAAAGTATACCGATGCTGGTCGACGATACAGTGTTGCCCAAGCGTCAAGTGAAATACAGGGGGTAGATTTCGAACACCTTGATATCAACGGGCCTCCTGATACCGATGCGGATGGCTCAATGGCTCGGCCATATTCGCCGCCTGAAGGCATCAGTCCGACCCAACCAGTGCCTCCTACACCTCCCCTTGGCCACTCAAGAAGTCGGGACAGTGAAGACTTTACGGGCAGCCACTCTGGGTCGCCTTCATTCCGACCTACGTTAAGAAAGAACTTCTCTTCCTCAAGCTTAAGAAGCATGAAGAACCGGAACATGTCTCTATCGAACCTGGACGATACGTCTGACATGTCTCCTGGCACCCCATTAAGTACTGCTTTTGGCATTAACGGCAGGCATCCGGCGATGCCGACCTTACCGACACCGTTGGCTGCTGCTTTCAAAGAGAAATTCACACCAAGCTCTGTTGGGGGTCTTTACTTGTTTGACGATAGCCTACATTCACCACAGAGCCCGGGGTCTCCAAACACACTTCAGCCAGATGCCCCAATTCCCCTAGAGCCGTGCCCAACAGACTACATGTTGAGGCCATTTTGGTTAATGCGCTGTCTTTATCAGACGCTTGCACACCCTCGCGGAGGATATCTCAGCAATAAGTTGTTTGTTCCACGCGACGTATGGAAGGTGAAAGGCGTCAAAATTCGAAACCTGGAGGATAAAGTGGCAACATGCGACTACCTGACAGCTGCGCTATTAAAGCTTGCGCGAGTCGACACATGTGATGCGGATGCCGTTCTCGAAGAGATGCAGGCTTTGGAGGGCATTCTCGAACAAGTGCAAGTCGGGCTGACACGGAAATTGGGCACAGATGTGGGTGTGCAGAACTCCAGCATGTTGTTTCGAGATGCTTCGAACTCAGCAGAGCTTGAAGCCGCAATTAGCGTGCCACGTTCAGCCAGTGTGTCGGGAAAGTCCTCATCCTTCTCATGGCGGAGACTGCGGTCCAAGAATTCGGCAGCGGGTTTAAACAACTCTTTTAACGCCAAGGGAAATGGGGTAGAGAGCGGCAAGGAATCTCCAGGCCTAGAAACGTTGCCCATGACGGAACACCCAACAAGTCGCCCCTCTAGAAGGGATCCGAGCAACGCACAATTTTCAGGGCCGAATGCGAACTATATGGGGTCGCTGGCTCGATTGTTTGACGCTGCTCAAACGATTGGTAAAGTGACCAATAGCTGTTGCCAGGTGTTCCCTCTGACTGACATTCTGATGCAGACCAAATCGCGCGCCAGGTTGAAGATCCAGGCCTTCGGCATGCCGACAAGACACAGGTTGGCCTAGAGCTGTGCACAAGACATGCGGCAGAATTTTTTGGCTTCTTCATCTGTCGTTTTGTGTTGTCTGACCTGAGCCTCCTCTTGGATAAATTCATCAAGAGGGGAAGCGAGTGGGTTCTCAACTAAGTGAGGTAACGAAGCATGAGCCAAGAGGTACGAAGTGTTCGTGTGGAATGGCAAGAAAGCTACGGAGGCATGATGCTAGAGTACTAAAGGGCAGCTGAACGGGCTGCCAAGGGATTCGTTTTCAATCAAGAGCGACAACTGGGTTAAGAAGGTCTGATATTATGATAGAAGCTGAAGCGGGATGGGCTAGCGAATGATTGCCTTTGCGGAGCCTGCTTGCTGGTGCTGGGATCGAAGTTTCCAGATTCCAAGAGATACCTCAATGTTTTCAACATTAACGGGATGTACTCGACTTTCACGTGAAATTTTGTTGTCGTCGCAAGGTGAGCTTCTAATTTCAGTTATCGTCAGGCATGGGCATGATAATGTTAGCCGGCTCCGGGAGCTGGCTCCGTCGCCTACGGGTGTGGTACCAGAGGCGGGCGGCCGAGCCACCGCTCGTCAGGAACCAACTAAGTACCGATTTGCCGGTTCAGCATTACGGTATACCATACCCAAACCAAGGGCTGCCTGTGGTGTCTGTCATGCCCGTATAGACCCGCACGAGCTAATTTTAAGATACCTACCTACCTGAGGTTCACAGGCCGCTAAGAGAGTCCCAGCGGCTGATTCCTAGGTACCTACGAAATACATCAGACCTGGTGATAGACGGAAGTTAACGTACTGGGGCACCGTAAGGTTCCCTAGGTATCCACGAGTGCTCCAAAGACCGTGTGCCTAGCGTGCTTAGGCTTGTCTTGCTTAGGTAGTCCCTGTCAGCTGTCCTGGTACCTGGTGAGAAAATAAGGTAGCCATAGTTCAGTGTGTTGAACGCCCCAAGCCAACTACTGAAGACATCCATCACACCCTCGCCCTTGGAACATTCGAACCCCGAGCTTGGATCTGCTCGATGCAGAGGAACACACCTTGATGCGCGGCCCCTTAGCGACGAGCGTGCGCTGTACGCGGGACCAATTGGTCGGTATTCCACGCCGATTGCCACGATTTCCCCCGTCAAGCAAGACGGCGCGTATCTCCTTGCAAGGCAACATTCCTGCGCAACGGTCATGGCAGTGGAAGACGATGAGATGGAGTGGCTTCGATCATAGGAGATTCTTTCACTGCGGGACATCGACCTTTGCTAAGCCTGCGGCTCCGTCACGCTCTGCACTCGAGGAGCGAATACTTTCGATTCCGATTGAACGATACCGTAACTTTTGTATCGTGGCCCATATCGACCACGGCAAGAGTACGCTCAGCGACCGCCTTCTGGAGATCACCGGTACGATATCTGCCAGTGACGCCAATAAGCAGATTCTCGTGAGTTCGTGTCTGACCGTATAGCTGCACATTGAGGAGGGTGTAAAGCTAATGGCTTCCTGTCATTTCGCAGGATAAATTAGATGTCGAACGTGAACGGGGCATTACTGTCAAGGCACAAACTTGCACCATGATATACAATTACAAAGGCGACGACTACCTACTGCATCTCGTTGACACTCCTGGTCATGTCGACTTTCGAGCCGAAGTTACGCGATCGTACGCCAGTTGCGGTGGTGCTCTGCTGCTAGTCGATGCTAGTCAGGGCATTCAGGCCCAAACTGTCTCGAATTTTCATCTTGCATTCGCCCAGGACCTTGCTCTGATTCCTGTTGTCAATAAAATCGATATGCCCTCCGCCGATGTACCGAGGGTCCTCGAGCAGATGCATACGTCTTTCGAGTTGGAGCCTTCCACGGCTGTCCTTGTATCAGCCAAGACTGGCAAGCATGTGGCCAACATCCTTCCCGCCGTTGTAGAGAAGATCCCGCATCCTGTCGGCGATGTTTCGAAACCTCTGCGCATCCTGTTGGTAGATTCGTGGTACGATAATTTCAGGGGCGTGATCCTGCTTGTACGCGTCTTTGATGGCCAGGTCAAGGCTGGCGACAATCTCATCTCATTCGCCACTGGCCACAAATACACCGTCGGCGAGGTCGGGATACAGTACCCCAATGCTGTCCCACAAAGTGTCCTTCGTGCTGGACAGGTAGGCTACATCTACTTCAATCCTGGTATGAAGCGCATTCAGGACGCCAAACTCGGTGACACCTTCACCACCGTCGGATCGGAGGACATTGTCCAGGCATACCCGGGTTTTGAGGAACCAAAGCCAATGGTCTTCGTCGCGGCCTTTCCCACCGATCAGGGCGACTATACACGCCTGGCAGACAGCATTAGCCAGCTTGTTCTGAATGACAGGAGCGTGACCCTGCAGAAGGACTATTCCGAGGCATTAGGGGCAGGCTGGCGACTAGGCTTTCTAGGCAGCTTACACTGCTCTGTATTCCAGGATAGGTTGAAACAGGAACATGGCGCCAGCATCATCATCACGGACCCGACTGTGCCGACTAAAGTGGAATGGGCTGATGGGACCGAGACGATCTATCAGAACCCGGCTGACTTCCCCAGCCAGGAGGAGCACCGGATGCGTGGTGCAACTGTCTTAGAACCGTAAGCTGAAGTCTTGTCTGATTTCTGTCTGCCCTGCGACTAACCTTACCTTTGTTAGATTCGTTACTGCTACTATGACTCTTCCAGAGGAGTACCTCGGCCGTGTCATCGAGCTCTGCGAGAGCGTACGTGGCGAGCAAAAGAGCTTTGAATTCTTTCATGCCACGCAGGTTATCCTCAAATACGATATCCCTGCAGCTCAACTCGTCGATGATCTGTTTGGTAAACTTAAAGGAGCAACGTAGGTTTGTCTTCCTTCCATCGTTTTGGACTTTTGTTCTAACGGTCAGAGCAGAAAGGGATACGCAACACTTGATTATGAAGACTCTGGCTGGCGAGCGAGCCAGCTCACGAAGCTGCAGCTCCTTGTCAATAAACAGCCTGTGGATGCCATTTGTCGTGTCATCCATAACTCACAGGCAGAGCGCCTCGGCAGGCAGTGGGTCACTAAATTCAAGAACCACGTTGATCGGCAGATGTTTGGTGAGTTCTCTATATGACGCACAGGCATTACGGCAGCATCTTCTGACATGACGCTTTGCAGAGGTCGTTATCCAAGCGGTGGCGGGCAGGAAGATTGTTGCACGCGAGACTATTAAGCCGTTCCGAAAAGATGTGCTCGCAAAGCTTCATGCTTCCGATATTACGCGCCGGAAGAAATTGTTGGAGAAGCAAAAGGCCGGCCGTAAGCGACTTCGCGCCGTCGGCAACGTTGTCATTGATCAGTCTGCTTTCCAGAGCTTCCTCTCCAGGTGAGCGCGCCATTAATAGGTTGAGTTGGGCTCGGCCGGCTTGTCGAATATGGCATATGTTTGTACAAAAGTTGAAGAGAAAAAAAGGACCCCACGGGGCCCGTGTATGTGTATGAAGACAGGGAAACTTGGCATAATAACAACCATATCCAAGCTTAATTGGACCCTTTGATCTAGAAAAGCTAGGCCACTGGGAGAAGATGTCGAGACTATTGCCATATCCCAGCCCCTATGGTCACCTCAGGCATGAACAGTGTCCGCTCTGATCCATGACGGTGTCAACCCGCGAAGAGCCCCAGTTCTCCTATTCATGTCGTGTGATTGAGACCGCTGCAATGCATACCTGGAGTGCTCCCTTTACTCGGATCTTTTGGCAGATGCCATAATCGCCATTTGACTTCTCGTGCTTCAAATGCTAGGCTTATGGGGTGGTCTCCGAGGCTGGCGCCAATTCCGAGCCGATGACTACGGGTTCCGTCCTCGACTTGCCGAGACCGCCACTTAGGGTTGAATCAGCTTGTTGAAGTTGGAAAGGCTTGCCTGGCGCTCCGCTCCTTTCAAACTCGAAAATTCTATAGTCGGCGTTGAAGAACCAATAACCCGTCACGCCGGCGCGAAGGAACCCAGAGTGGGAGACAACAAAGACAAGCTTCTCTTTGCGCTCAAAAATGCTCTGCAGGCCTGATTGACCTCGGCCGAGTATGGCTTCTCTGTTGAAAGCATACTGGGCACCAGCAGGGGGTGTTTTGTTGGGGTAGATGGGATCTACAGTGGAAAAGTCAACACCTGGAAATTCGACCTTCAAATCTGCGATAGTGCTGCCCGTGTCGCATGGCTTCGCAGAGTTTTCTACACTAAAGTCAGTGATATGGCCTCAGAAAGTCTCGGAGGGTCACCCCGAATTGCAGGAGGTGGTACGGCTTATTACCTTGCCATCGAGCGTCGGCTTGAATTGGCACCCCTTTCTTAATCAGCCAATCTAAGGAGAGAAGGGCTGTCTGGATTGTGCGTCTCATGGGGCTGACGATAATGATTGCCTCAGTCTCGTCGGCGAAACGCTCGGAGAGATTTTCCTTTAGTTCCTGACATTGGCTCAAGCCAAGAGAAGATAGATCAGGGTCATGAATGTTCCAGTCCTGTAGTATGGTGTTAGATTGACTCGCGACTATGAAGTTGGCTGGAAGACTCATCATCAACATTGTGCAGCGCCTGGGCATGGCGGATGAGCACGAGTGTCGGCGGCATGGCGATATTTGGAAGGTTTGCTGCAGATGCGCAATTGTGTTCCCTAGATTCTAGAAGCTCTATGCTGGACAGTCGACGCAAATGACTGATTCACAGTAACAAAAGCAACCAACTCTATGACCGGAGTAGGCAAGTCTAAGCGTAGCGACAATACTGGAAACAGCAAATCAGCCGCCGTGACACACAGGGTAGGCACGCTTCACTTGAGCTTCTATGTGTGCATATTTGCATAGGTGCTTTGAGCTAGCTTACGGATACCTATCGGGCTACAGCTACAGTGTACATACATAGGTAAGGTAGGTACTTCCCCCCAAGTGGCCTTGGCTCAATCCACCCCGTGCCACCCAACGTGCCAACTTACTTACATACGTACCTTGATGGACATACGTACTTTGAAGGTACCTCGGATTAAGCTAGGTACCTTAGCACGCTGGGCCTGGCGCGACGATACCGGGCAGCATCGCGTCTAAAAGCTCCTTGACCATCCCAAGCACAAGCCTTTTACCGTTGCTGCAAATTCACCTACGGCACAACGCAACTTACCTACTAGTCACCCAGAGTCTTTCCGGAATCACTCAAAGGAAATGGCGGATGTGAACGAGTTGTTCAAGGTGAGTCGCACCATAAGTCTCCCGATCACAGCCTTACTTACTAGGCACTCTAAAGTCCGGCAGTACTGCGAAAAGGAAGCTTGATGTTGTGCGAGATCCCAGTTAGTATCTGCCTCCATTGCTGCCCAACAGCGAACGCGAAGTAATAGATATACAGATGAAATATACAAGTCAGCCAAACTGAGCGCAGCTGACGCCATCAGTCGACATGCCAGCACAGTAGACGCGGAAGGAGACGATAGCGATTTCACTGCCGGTCCGCAAAACCCACCTGAAGATGGCGAAGACGAAGACTGTGGCCCAGAAATGCCGCCAGACGATGACGACGAGGGTCGATTCTTTGGCGGAGGTATTACAAAGCAGGAGTCTGAGATCCTCGACTTCGTAGACGGCCATGGCGAGGAATCATCCGCCCCTGAAAAGATCGATGCTGGCTGGGTACGAAAAACGGCACTAAACTTTGAGAAGCGCATCACGCGAAATGCTGAGCTGCGCGCAAGGTTTGCCGACGAGCCACACAAGTTTATTGAGAGCGAGGCCGATCTCGACGCTGCCATCAAAGACCTCTCGATCCTGTCCGAGCACCCCGAGTTATATCCCCAATTCGCAAAGTTGGGATGCGTCGAGAGCCTCGTCGGCTTGTTGGCCCATGACAACACAGATATTGCGATTGATGCGGTGGAAATTATTGGCGAGCTTATTGACGAAGACGTCAATGCAGCGGATCAGGATTGGGATACTCTAGTGGATGGCTTATTGACTGCAGACCTCATTGGCTTGCTAGTGTCCAACTTCTCGCGTCTGAACGAAGAGGACGAGTCTGACCGTGGTGGTATATATCATGCTCTTGGAGTCGTTGAAAGCCTGCTCTCCAAAACGGCGAATGCTGAAAAGGTGGGACAGAACACAACGCTGGTCAAATGGCTACTTGACAGGGCACAGCGCCAAGAAACACCCGTGTCCCAAAACAAGCAATATGCTACGGAAATTCTCGACATTATTGCGAACGCATCGCCAGCAACAAGACGGACACTCGCCGAGATGGATGCGGTCGAGGTTTTACTCCAGCTGGTCTCTGCGTATCGCAAACGTGACCCTGAGAAGGGGGGCGAGGAGGAAGAGTATATGGAGAACCTCTTCAACGCTCTCATCTGCATTGTGGATGAGCCAGAAGGCAAGGCCAAGTTCCTCGAAGCCGAGGGCGTCGAATTATGCCTGATCATGCTCAAGGAGGCCAAGATGAGCAAGCAGCCGGCAATGCGTCTACTTGTACACAGCGTTGACGAGGATATGAGCGGGCAGCTATGCCGAAAATTAGTAGACGCTGGCGGGCTGAAAGTGCTCTTCTCCATTTTCAAGAAGACGAGCAAAACTCAGAGGCAGATGACAGAAAGCCTATTTGATGTATTCAGGTCCTTGCTACGATTCTTGCCTGCTGACTCTGCCGAGCGAATCAGGACATTGGCCAAATTCGTGGAGAAGGACTACGAAAAGCTGGGTCGGCTCTACGAGTGTCGGAAGAGGTATAGTTCCATGTTGGATGCGCAACAGGAAAAGATTCGTCAAGAGCAAATTGGCATGAGCGCTGAGGAGATTGAGCTCTCGGAAGGCGAGTGGTTCATGAAGAGGATTGAGGAAGGTCTCCACAGCTTCTGGAATATCGATGTTGTCTTGGCCTGGCTCATAGCTGAAGATTCTGGGGCTAGGAGGAAGGCGCAGAAGCTCCTGGCCGCTGATGGGAAGGGTCTATCAGCCATCAAAGCGACGTTGGAAGAATACCGATCTGACCTCACCCTGGAAAAGCCCGAGCACAAAGATCTCTCCGATATGCTCACCACTCTCATGGACTTTTTAGTTTAGACATAAGAAGACAAAGAAGAAGAAGAAGAAGAAGAAGGAGGAGGAGAGGGAGAAGTAGAAGGGGAGGACTGGCTAGCAAAGTACAATTTTACCACAGCTACCCGATCTATGTAGGTGCGATTCTCCAAAGTTCCGGTCATACCGCGCAAACAACTCGCGCTTCAGTCTGTTGTCCTGGCTTCGCGCATCATCGGCAATTTGTGAAGGCGTCCTCGTCATCCTCTTCTCACCCGGGACAAAAGTGCTGGCTTCATTTCTATTCGTATGCTGCGCATAGCGTGTCCGATGCACTCGTTACCAGTGTGCTTTGATGCTATGAAGAATGCTGATAATGGCTCATGCGGCAGTCGGCGCGACAGGCTTCACCTCGAACACGGCCTTCAGGAGATCAGCTACGACCTTGTCCTGGCTCTTCTTTCCGGCCCCCTGGATCTCCTTGATCTTTCCTTCTGCCTCCTTGTTCGCCTCATCCTCGGCTGCTTTATTTCCTTGGGAGTGCTAGAGGATTGTCAGCACCGAGATGGTGTCGGAGCGGTGTCGGAATCCACGACAGATATACCTCAGATTCGAACTTCTTGAACTCGTCCTCCTTAGAGTTGCGGTACGCCTCGATTTCCTTCTTGGCCTCGTCTCGGGCTTCCTTCACCCGCTTCGTACGGACTATTTCGGTATTGCGTGAGTATGTCATAGTCGCAGCAGTATTGATCGGCCTCGAAACCTACACTCGCGGGCTAGGTAGGGTTCATTCATTAGTCAACCAGTTACTTCAACATGTACCCCTGGGCATACCTTTTTGGACAATCTTGGAAGCTTCCCTCTCTGCCTGCATCGCTTAGGTGAGTGACAATTTGACAAGGAGTGTCGCGACGGAGGGCACATACGTCCAGGAGCGTCTGGATACCAGCTGAGTTCTGAGCCGACTGTAGAATGCCAAATCAGCTTGCTGCAAGTTGATGGATGACGTTGCTGTCCGCGTCGCACGTCCTCACCATTGTGTAGTATTGTTGCAGGTGTAGCTAGCGGGGAAAGCAACGTAGGGTGATTGCGCGATTTGAGACTGCTGGCCGATTGATATCACAAGGAGCGAATGCAGGAGATGTGTTGATAGCCGTAAGTAAGGTAGTTGTCAACAATCACAAGTAACAGGAGGCGACGAGGAAAGCTGGGGTGCGCTGGTTACGGAGCGAACGTAAGGCGAGGTACCTACCCAGGTAGGTGCCAAGGAAGGTCACAGTGCACAACCGCGCCGTCTCTAGCACTGTACCTCCAACCTCAACCCTCCAACTCAAGCTCCCATGTCTCTCTACCTGGTAAGGTACCTTAGTGGGGTAAAGGAGCTAGCGGGGCGCTGACAGACATAGGTGAGGCACCCACATCAGGCATATATGCACTACCTTAAGATGCTACGTAAAGTGTAACTAGACATCTGCTCCTGGGACTTGAGGCGTTGAGGGTGCTCTGCAATACAGTTGTTGAAGACGACAATTGCGTGAACCTAACTTGCGGTAGATATATTGAGACTAGCAGGTACGCAACGACGTTTATTGGCCCCTATTTAAAGGATACCCGCTGTCGAATCGAGAACCGAGTTAACCGACACCAACGCGGCGGATGCTGTCGCTCACGGGGAGAGATTCAAACACCGAAATCGAACCACCAACATCACCGGAGTTTTGATAACCCTCTGTTCAAGCGTTCGCTTCCACACGTCACCCGCACGTTCAAACATCGTCTTCCAACCATGTCCAGGGCATCGAAGCTTACGCTGGCCGCGACATCGCTGTTCGCCGCCAGCACCATTATCATTGTCCATTTCCAACAAAAGTTTGAAAAAGAGGCATGTACCACCTTGGATTACCGATGCTCCCATAGGAATCTGTATCTAAATGAGAGTGCCTAGGCCATGCATCAGGGAGTGGTACGCGACATCGAACAGCAGCGTATCAAACGAGAACGCCAACTCGACTTCGACATGCAGCGCGCCCTCGAGGAGGACTACAAGCGTGAGCAGACCGTCAGAGATGCAACGGCGCCCTCACAACCCAGCGCAAGTGGCATACAAACATAATCTGTAGCCAATGGTCTGTCTCGTCTGTACCCAGCAACTAGGCAACATGAAGACAGGGCCGGATCGACGGAAATAAGAAATCACGGTGCATTTGTATAATATGAGGATGAGAGGAGGGCGTGGGAAACGATGAATAGTACGCGCGGGTTCCTCTCACTGTCGAGGATAGAAACAGCTGAAGAGATGGCATGACACTAAACAGGGGCATTGCATCGCGATTAAGGGAAAGTAATCGCCAAAATGTTGCAATGTCACGTAGGAAAGGCTACTACTGCGGCATCGCTCGCGCATACATATTAGCAAGATTCGCGTGAATAATACCCAGGAAGGAAGGAAGGGGCAGAAGAAGCAGATGCTACCTCACCTTCACTTGGGTACGAAGCCGAATAGTCTACCCGAACTGAGACGGAGGAAACATTACTGCACAACGCCCAAGGCTTTGGGCTTGTTTCTTAATCATTGATTTAATGGTACATGTCATTGATACAAGACACATGGAGGCAACATCTGCCAATTTTTCTATGGCTCGCCCCAAGATGCGAGTGGATAGGGTGGCCAGAATATAGTTCCCCAGCCTCGAAGACGCCAAATACAACCAATCACCTCCCAATACTCCCTGCCTGCCTGCCTGCCTGCTCAGCCGTTCTCATCTTGCAGGCCACCTCCATGACCCAAGGCTCAGCAACCTATTTTCCAAACATCCCATTCCGCAGCTAGTCTCTTTATCGGATGGAGACTCCGGACCTGTTGGTAAACATGCGGGCGGCGATGTTCATTGACTGCAGCTCCTGGAACAGAAGCTTAGCTGCGTAAGGAATGTGGATTTGTGCAATCTTCGTCTTGTTTTTGCACGGCCGACACTCGAACGATTGCTTCGAGAGGTTTCTGGTATCAAGTTAGTACTGCTCCGCGTGAAATAGTAGACTAGGAGAAACTTACGCGATAGGCGTCATCAGGCCACAAATTTCGCAAACATGAACTCGGAAAGCATCCGAGACCTCGAAAAGTCTCTCCTTGAGGAAAGATGCGGCGCCATGAGCAATCATGCAATCACGCTCCATCTCTCCGAAACGAAGACCTCCATCACGAGCACGACCCTCCACAGGTTGCCTGGTCATGATCTGAACAGGTCCACGCGCACGAGCGTGAATCTTGTCGTCCACCATGTGGCGCAGACGCTGGTAGTAAGTCGGTCCAAAGAAGACCTGGGCTCGCAGCTTCCTGCCAGTGTGGCCATTGTACATGATCTCGAATCCTCTCGATTGATATCCTTGATCTCGGAGGAGCTGCGAGACTGAGTCGACTGTCACATCTGTGAAAGGGGTGGCGTCGCCCTCCATTCCCTTTAACGTCGAGACTTTGCTGAGTAAACACTCGATCAAGTGGGCAATGGTCATACGAGACGGAATTGCGTGAGGATTGATGATGATGTCTGGTGTGATGCCCTCGCCCGTAAAGGGCATATCTTCTTGCCGATAAGTGACACCAATGGTACCCTTCTGGCCGTGACGTGAGGCAAATTTATCACCAATCTGTGGAATCTTGGTTGTTCTGACGCGGACCTTGACGTAACGGAGGCCGTCTTGGTTGGTCGTCACGATGACCTGGTCTACAATACCGTTTTCCGTACTTCTGAGTGGGGTGGAGGCGTCGCGCTTGACATGCTGCACCGTTCGCTGGCCCATCTCAGCGTTGTCCGGGCTTATAGGCGACGTCTTTCCGATAATGATATCTTCACCCGAGACACGAACTCCCGGTGCTACGATGCCATCATCATCGAGCTTGTCGTAGGTGCCATGCTTCAAACGTAAGGTATCGCTTCTGAACGGTTTCTCAAACTGCTCAACAAGATTGATACCCACGCGCTTCTCGCAGTCAGTGTACGACCTGAAGAATAGACTCCTGAACAGGCCACGATCGATGCTGCTCTGATTCATGATCACGGAATCTTCCTGATTGTAACCAGAGTAACAGGCAATAGCGACGACGGCGTTCTGTCCGGCTGGAAGCTCTCTGAACTTGAGGAATTCCATGGACCGCGTGGTGGCAAGCGGTTTTTGAGGGTAGTAGAGAATATTGGCCATCGTGTCCATTCTGCGTGAGTAGTTTGTCAAGAAGAAGCCCATGGCTTGCTTGCCCATGGCGGACTGGTAGGTATTACGAGGTGACTATGAAAGGCATTCAATCAGTGCTTGCTTGTCAAACGAAAACGGGGAATGGCATACCTGGTTGTGATCGGGGAAGGGAATGATGCTGGCGCAAATTCCTAACAGCATGCTGGGGTGGATTTCGCAGTGAGTGTACATGTGTGTTGTGGGATTAATCTTGGTCTTCAGACGGCTATTGGGGCCATCGGTATTGTCCTCAACCACTTGACCTTGCTTCTGCAATCTGTAGATTTCCAGATCCTCGGGCGTCATGCAAATCATGGCTGTCTCTTCTTCCTCAGCATCGAGATATTCTATAACACCGCTGTGGGCAAGGGACTCCCAAGTAATCTTGTCAGCCGGGTTATCTGGAGGGTTCTCCTGTTGCTCGCGCATTTCGTTGACCGTTGCCTTTTGCAGCACGAGGGATCCCTGAGCTACTATGCCGTTGGTACCTTGCTCTACAACGAAAACAGGTCTCATGACTCTGCCGGCGTCGGAAAAGATCTTGAACTCGCGGTCTCGGATATCACGGACGAGCGACACTTCGTGGGAAATAACGTTTCGCCGACGAGTGCCCTGAACATCAGGAACCAAAATTCTTGGGTCTTGGTGCACGCCAACCCAGACACCATTCAGGAAGACCTTGGTGGCGTTGGGATACCTCAGTGGCTCGTACTCCTCAAGAACCTCCATGCCTCGCTGGATCATGTAGTCGATAATGGGTTCGGCGGGTGTACCGACACTGACATAACACATGAGAGACAAGTTCTTGACGAGACCACATGCTTGGCCTTCCGGCGTCTCAGCCGGGCAAACCAAACCCCAGTGCGTGTTGTGAAGTTGCCGGGGCTTTGCCAGCTTGCCGTCACGACCAATGGGCGTATTTGTGCGACGAAGATGGGATAGCGTAGACGCAAAAGTATAGCGGTTCAATACCTGAGACACGCCAGCCGTCGAGCTCGCGGCCTTCTTCTGATCTCCCCAATTGCCAGTCGCCAACGAGTACTTCAATCCATTTGAAAGAGTCTGCGGCTTCACACCGAGAGTGAGACTGAATTGCCTGTTAGACTCGACACAGCGCTTGAGATGGCCAGATAACTCCTGGTTCATGCGGCGGACGATGTTGCGGAACAGCTTGGCGAGAAGGGGGCCGGCGAGATCAAGGCGCTTTTTGCCAAAGTGATCACGATCGTCGGTATCGCGCCGACCTAAGGCGCATTGGAGCAGCTTGTGAACCATGTATCCCAAAAAGAACGCCTTTCTTGTCTCACTGCCTTCGCTCTGGGAGATATGCGGCAGAGTTTCTTTTTGAAGAATGTCTTTAGCAGTTCTCACACGCTTCTCTCTGGGAATGTTGTGGTTGCTGCCACGCTTGCCGATAAAGTCAAGGGCAACCTCTCTGTCCTGGATACAGAAAGCTTCCTCGATGCATGGCCGCAACATCTCGAGCATCTGGCTATCATTTCGATCATAGCAAATATGATTGAGGATATCCTCGTCGGATACCACACCCAGAGCTCGGAAAACGATGGCGATTGGCAGATCAGCCTTGACATAGGGCAGACTGCAGTGGATAGTCTGACCGTACCCGCCCTTTGCCGCGTCGCCCTTGCTGTACAGCTTCAGCATCATAGATGAAATGAGTCGAGAGCCCTTCTCGAGAGCGCTGCGGATTTCAGCTGTGTAAGAGTATGGACTCGGCTGGGCCTTCTTGAAGACTTGGACAATGTTGGCGGCCGATCGCTCTTGAGCAATGAGGACCTTTTCACTACCGTTGATGATGAAGTAGCCTCCCTGATCGTAAGGACACTCGTTTAGCATGAACAAGTCATCCTCCTGCTCGCTACTCAAGTGGCAAATCTTAGACTTGACCATAATGGGCATGCGACCGATGAAAATCATGTCCTTCATGTCGTCTGACTTGTTTTTGTCGGCGCCATAATCCTCGCCGCTCTCCTCCTCTTCCCACTCCAACTTGGTAGGGTGCTCGCCAGTATTTGCAAGTTCGTCCTGCTGTTCCTCATCGAGCTCATTCAGCGGAACCGGTTTCTCTACCGCAATCGAGACCTTCTTGGTGATCTTAACATAGAGGGGACTGGCGTAAGTGAGGTTGCGGTCGCGGCATTCGTAGGGAAGTAATGTCGTAACTTTACCATCAGCTTCGGTGATGGATGGACGAGATACCATGACAGTGCCAAATTTGACTTCGTACCGACGGAGGGCGATGACCTTGTCGCTGTCTGACATAGGATTCGGCTGGTCTAGGGTGATTTGGGAGTACTCGTCGATGAGCTCTTGGACGGTTGAAGAGGTGAATTCGTCGAAGGAGTCGACTTGCTGAGAAACCAAACCCTTCGACTCGAAGAAGGAAGAGATGACGGTCCAGCAGTCTTCGGGCGTGATGCTGGTATCGTCTTCTTCGACGTACCCGTCGTAGTCGTAGTCATCGTAGTCGGCCATCTCGGAGACGTTGGCACCTGCGTGTGCGATGACGGATGCCAGACAAGAAACAGGTTGAGTGAGCAGCAGTCGGCCTTGTGGTTATCTGCAGTGGTGCGTCTGGTACTCAAGTCTGCGAGCGATCGAGTTCCGAGGCAGTGTTCGACGGGCAAGAAGCGGCGAGTCGCGGTAGGAGTCGGGTTCCCACAATGATGATGATTAACAATCACGACGCAGGGCACAGGCGAGTTTGCCTCTTCAGCTCGGTTGGGGCATGAAAAGAGAAACAAGGCCAGGCGCGAGATTGGAAGACCGACTGCGCAAAGCGATGCCGGTTCGATTTGTAACGGACGGGTAATGCAATGGTGTACGCCCGATGCAGATGACCAGCCTCGTTACCTAGGGTAGGTGGTGGTTTTTTCCTCTCTCGAAAATACAGTCCCAGAGGCAGGAGGCGCGAGAGACGGGTTTGAGAGGCTCAAGCCAGAGCGCGGCAAGGGGAGACAGGCTAACCCTTTTTGAAATAGTGCATATTTGCATGCTTGTGCCTTAAGGTATCCATCCGTCGCTACTTATTTGTATTCGTAGGTACCTACCTACCTTAACGTACGGTTTACCACCTCAGGTAGGAGCCCCACAACAGCTCCTTCTGGGCGGATCACGTGGCAGAGGTTGTTTCCCTCCCACGGAACTTGGAGGCACCAGATGAGACACATCTTCAACTACCTTAAGGTACCTAATATGGAAGGAGCGAGTCCACAAACCTCATTGCCATCGTTCAGCATGGTGGCCAATACCTGTCCATTCTTGTAGATGATCTAAGGCCAAAAAACAGCTAGTTCAACATCCATCAGGTTGTCACTCAACGTTCCCCCGACTTTGATGAACGACGGGGGTTTTCCAGCTCTTCCCACTATCCCGCATCTGATTCAGACTGCGATTCCAGTTCACTTTTCGCAGAAATCTCGTTTGGTATGCAACAGGCGTACGTGACGGCTGTTTTGAAGAAGTCATATTTGTTTTCCTGGATACTTTACTCACTGTAACGTATAGGATGTCTCAGCCGTACCGAGTGGTAACGAGCTTCGCCTTATACCACAGAATACCTCCAATTGACAATCGTGGTAGGGTCGTCTTGGTGAAAGCTAACGTATACTTATCCGCTAGCGGCCCATTGGCAGTGAAGCAACCAAATAGCAAACATAAAACCAACCTTCCTGTACGTATGGGCCAACAGGCCGTCAAGCACGTGAGCCAAAGTCTCAACGGAAGGAGTCAACTCTGTTCAACTAGTAATTATGAACTGATTTCCCAAACGTTTCTAGACACGCTTCGAGCAATGTATTGCGCGTTGGGTTTCACGCCAGTAGCGCATACATCTACGTCTATCCAGCAGCACTGATGTCTGCATCAGTAATGGCAGATGCCACCAAAGTCATCATCGATGGTCCACGTCCCTGCTAAGCCTCCGACCCCGGCTTCGATGCTGCTGTGGCTAGGCTGGTCTGGTTTACCCAAGAAAAAATCGCCGCTGCCCTCAGACTTAACAGTTCTACGCATGAAGCGACGGGTCCACTCTTCGATCGCCGGCTCACCGGTCTCATCGCGCGCCTGTTTCAAGAACGGGATGAGAGCAGTACCTCCTGTACCCTTGAGGTTCTTCTTGCCGTCGGCAGCCGGCAAGTTATTACCCTGGGCGTTCGACTGACGTTGGCGTGAGGCCGTGGCTAGGTTAACACGCAAGCGCGTCGCCTCAGGACTTCTCGACCTGCTGCGAGCCCGCACCTCGCGTGAAGGAAGGATGATGTAGCGGGTGACGATGGCTATATGCTTGTCGCGGAATGCACTGAGCATGGCGAGACATGCATCATAGGCGAGACACAAGTCGCGTTCGTGCTTGTGGTTCTCGACAAACTCGCGGATGTTGGCAATGCCAGAGACATCCTTGAGGAAGCGAGCATGGGGCCCGGGCATGTACCGGCGCATCTCCATAATAAAGTTGTGCTTTGGAACCGGAGCCCTAGACTCGCGTTCCGACTCGGTTGAGGGATCCCGCTTTTCGCCCGTTGGGCGATGATCAATGCCAAGGATGACATCGAAGAATTGTATCAGACTGCTCTGAGCATTGCTACCACCGCTGTACTGACGGTAGTCCTCCTTTCCAGAGCCATCGTCATAATTGACGCCGTCAGGAAGACCGGCTTCGGCCATGTTCTTGCTCCCAGCAAGAAAGGTGCGGATGCGATTGTAAAATATGTTGGGATCGCAACTCTCGTGCATGCGTTGCAAGATGATGGTCAGGTCGGTCAGCCGCTCGGCAAAGGTGCGCAAGCTCCGGGTGACGGTCGAGACATCTCCTCGGCGAGCAGCTTCCACGGCACCCAGCATGAGGGGGATGATGGGACCGCCACGGGCCTCAATAGCGACAGAGACGAGGTAGAACCACGACTCGTCGAGAGAACCAGTGAAGGTGTTGAGGGTGGCTAGGTTCTCGAGATTGTCAATGTCCTCGTCGACAAAAAGAGGCTTGAAGTTCCAAAGGCACAATGCGGCGTAGGTAGCAACCGGAGGCAGCTCAAGATGATTCGAGACCTTCAAGAAGGGAACGGTGATGGAGGGCGGAAGTTGATCGCAAGGCTCATCGCCACCCCAGATGTAGGCATGAGCCATGAAGGATAACAAAGAGTAGGCTCTCCGCCATTCTGCGTCGTGTTCCAGACCGATGGTGGAGAGAACAGGCAAGCGGTCGACAACCGGACGAAGGCGGCGGCTGAGAACGAGAGCCTGTAAGTTGGCGACAATAGCCTCCCACTTGTTATAGTAGGGGTCCGGCAGCCGCGTCAACGGGAGAACGTCCGGTAGGAATCCATGGGTTGCAGAGATTCCATAGTCGGAGAGTTCGGGGATGGGGGGTAGCATAGTTGAGTGTTGTCAATATCTTGGTTTTGCCTCTGTTGCGAGCAGAACGAGTTTCCGAGTGTAGTCGATCGAGTGGTTGAGACTTTAGAAGTGCCGAGAGATTATCAACGCTCCAATGGATGATTGCGATTACGGAAGTTGGTTGTGAATGCGGTTCAGTGAGGTAGTAGACAGTGTTCAAAAAGGTCCTGACGCAAGGAGTATCCAGAATTTGCTGGAATACTCCTCAGCCGTGCGAAAGATCCTTGGAACAGCAAGCATTCAACGTAATGTGAGAGCTGAGCGGAAACAGTTCCAAAATGTTGTTAGTTTCCAGGAAAAACCAATGTCGACCGTGAAAAGAAACAAGAGTTGTAGGTAACTGCAGCGGAAGGGGTGTGCGTGTGCCGGATGTTTTATTTAATAATGCGCGCAGCGGTCCCCGTCGGCTATGTGGGATTGGACAGGCGCAATGTGTTCCAGGGTCTCCCCCGAAACCATTTTTCTTCTTTGCAGGTGAAGAAATGTAATGGCGGAGAGTACGGATGCCAGACTAGGTGACTAGGCTACTAGGTAACTCTGCTAGGTAAGGTAGGCAGTAGAGTCGAGTGTTTGTGCCGCCTCCTTGGAGCGGTTAAAGCGCCCAATTCGAAACATGGACGGTACATATAATGGACTAGCGGGGCACGTACCTCGAGCGGGTGGAACCATATGAGTGAACATGACATCCAATGATTCGATACCTTCAGAATGATTGTGGTACCACCAAGCCAATGTATCGATGAAGTAAAGCATCTTGCAGAGCGAAGACAACTCTCGGGATTTACCGTAACAACACGATTATGCCCCGTACCAGAAGGCGTGCAAAGTATGCGTAGTAGCTACCAAGGTCTACGGTTATGTACCTAGAATACATGGCTTGCAAAGTGCTGAAAATGTAAGCAAGACGGAGAACAATGCAAGATTACAAAGCGTGTCAAAGCAACTGCAAAAAAGGAACTGGAGCTGGACCTGACCAACCCGAAACATGCCAGGCAAGCAAGCTGCCAGCATTGGATTAGAATGGGCCCGCTCCGTGCTCGGCCTTTCATCCAGCCAACTTCACACCATGAGATCAATTGAGAATCTCAGCGGCCGTGTGGGTCCGATGCCGGCCATCATCGATCATTGGGTTACGCTGCAACGTGGAAAAACAGTATCTACCTAAATCCACTTGATTGCTTGTTGCAATCATCAACCTAATTTGCTATCCTGAGCAGATCTCTTGCGCAAGCTCTGATACCATGCGCTTGCATTTCGAGGCGCGCTTGGTGCAGTTATATACCTATTTTCTAACCCATCACAAAGGAAGCAAACATGCAGGATGGCCAATATCCCATGGGAAGCATTTCAAACTGCATGGCTGCGATGTAAATGGTGCAAAGTGATGAGGATGATGTACCATGAGTGTTTTGCTTTAACTATCGGTGCTGATAGATGAATGGCGATTTCCGTCCAACCTTAACCTACATTTCTTACGTCTAATTTAGGATCGAACACCAGTATGAAGGGCCTCTTCAAAGTCGATGGAGCCCGCCTCAGGTCACAGGTGGTTTAAGGTAACGGAATTTGACTGTGACGCGGGGAGACCTTCACGGCGGCCCCACCTTTTCCCGCCCAAGCTGAGGTGCGTCATCCGCAGTGCGAACTGCCATCCACCACCGGCACCCAATCACCGATGTCCGAACTACCTTAGCTACTTACCTACCTCCCTCCACTGGGTACATGGAACGCTTCCACCGTCGCAAGCTCTCTGAGAAATCTATCACCGGCGCCGTCCCATTCCGCTGTCCGACGTCTCCCGTTACCGAACACCCACCCGATTGTGCCGATTCTCATAGCAGACCTTAGTGTTAGACACCGCTGCAGCATCACAAACCGGCTCTAGTCCTAGGGCCCCTGGCATGCACCTATGAGTTGAATCCGCATCTCACCTTCCCCCTCTCGCCGCTCGCTCTCCGTTACTCGCGCATCCGCCTTCACCTCTACTCGCCTCCTGACCGAGCTCCGTATCGGCTCCCCCGTACCGGAGCTCTCGCTGCGTCTCTGCGATGCCCGTGCCGCAACATGTCCTGAACTGGCTTTACAGTGTTTTGACAAGTGTATGTTGTGTCTTCAACTCTTGGCTCCGTTGTCCTCGACTAATGCGTGGCCCTGTCCCCAGGAATACCACGATGTGAATCGCACCTACAACGATGTAGCCCAAGCGCTATCCCACCACCCATCTCTATCGCCGCGCACCGACGTTCACAGTACGGCCATCGATCGCGACCACAAATCCTTGATGAATGCGTGCTGATACCGTCCATAGCTTACGATAATGGCTCGTCAGCCCTACTTCTCCGCCTCTCTGGTACCATACCCGTTATATTTAGAGGCACCACATATCGCTTTCCCATATCTGTCTGGGTGCCTCATGCCTACCCACGAGAGGCTCCATTGGTTTACGTCACTCCAACAGAGTCCATGATGGTACGCCCCGGCCAGCATGTAGATCCTCAAGGCCAAGTCTATCACCCATATCTCGTAGGCTGGGCCGCCTTCTGGGATGTATGTCTTCATGCTTATCTTCCCAACCCTGGGCTTTGAGGGTTGTTCTCCCATTCTGACGGCTAGCGTGTTAGAAATCCACGATTCTTGACTTCCTGGCCATCTTGAGAGATATCTTCGCCAAAGAGCCACCAGTCATTGCCCGACCACAAGGCCCACAGCAACCACTGCCGCCCGTGGCATCGCGTCCACCGCAATCACACACCCAAACGCCTCCCCCTTTTTCGCCTCCTCCACATGAGTTGGCAGCTCGTCCGTCGAGTCGCCCGCCTCCTCAAACCCCTACAGACGGATCGCGGCCTCCGCCTCCGCCGCCCAAAACGACAAGTACTGAACCGTACAGAAGCCCACCACCTCCTCTAGATGCTAGATACGGCCCTCCTCTCCCACCTCTACCCCCTGGTGCCACTCGTCAAGGCATCCATGGAGGCCTCAATCTCCAAGAGTCAAGTCGTCCACAGAGTCAAGCGCATTCTCGGTACGACTCAGCACCGCCACTACCACCAGTACCGTCGTCTCACCCACCGCCGCCGCCAGTCGTCTCATCTCCGCATCAAACTGAAGACACTGCACAGCAACCGCAATTCCGTTCTGGACATCCTGCTCAATCCGTTGCCCCTCGTCACTCAGCCGTCCCTATGTCTTACCAGCAAACGTCTCAGCATTACAGAGGACCACCTCCAGGCTGGCAACCGGACGGGCAGTATCAGGCACCACCGCTGCCGCAGCAACTGCAGCAGCATCCGCCGCCACAACAGCAGATTGCAAAACCACCGCCACCGCCAGATTTGCTCGACGCGCCCCTCACCCTGAGCATACCTTCGCCGTCGTCGGTTCCCGCGCCACCGATTCCGCCGAACCCGGAAAAGGACGCATTGCTCCACCAACTAGCGCAAACACTTCACTCCCTTCGGCAACGTAGCAGACAGCAGAACGACTCCAGCATGGCAGGCTTGCAGGCGCAACGCACAGCTATGATGTCTGCCTTCTCGACACTTCAGTCGGAGATGGGGACCTTAAATCAAACATCGGGGCTACTTCAGTCCAACGCTAATATCCTGATCGACGCGCTGCGAAAAGCCGATTCTGTTATCGAGGGATCAAAACGTCAAACTGCGCCTGATATCGACGAGCTTCTGGTTGCGCCCACAGTCGTAGCTAACCAGTTATACGCATTGGTCGCCGAAGAGAAAGCTATCGGGGATACTATTTTTGTCTTAGGCCGCGCCGTGGAACGCGGAAGGGTATCACCAGCGGTATTTGCTAAGACGACACGATCCCTTGCTAGGGAGTGGTATCTGAAGAAAGCTTTAGTTCGCAAAATAGGAAAGGGGATGGGGCTGACAGCCTAGTCGAGCAGTGACGTTGCGCTCCAATATCATGACATTTCAGTACGCTGAGTACTTTGGCAGACCAAGATTCCATTGAGACTATTCTCTTTGTGCCCGGCAGTTCCTTTGCTGGCCATTTCCCAGTACTATGCTTCATAGCCTTGCAGCCTTCACCCTCCAGGTCTCTTACGCCGGTACACTACAAATGATATCCTGCTCTATGCTAAGGCATCACTGAAGAACACTGCTAGCTAGCCCGTCCGACATTGAATCAGTTACCATTACTGATGCTTGTTTCACTTTGCCGATTGGCAGCTTTGCGCATTTTACTCAGCTGTACAGTAGACATTGGCCGAGAATGGTACATTCGACATTCGGCACCGGCCGCCACGATTCTTCTGTCTCGTGGTGCGCGCCATCGAGCCCAGCTAGTCCCATGAGCATCTCCTGACAGAGCGTCCCACCTCGTCCTCCAAGGTGCGTACGAGGATGATGATCCAAGTTGCCACCAAGTAGAAGTGACGACTGGACCAGTGGTACTGAGCGGCAGGACTCTCTTTTGTTCTGATAAACAGCCGTCAAGACTATGACCGGTGCTCAGACACTCCCGGGGAATGGCCGACGTGCTCTTTCGGGAGGGCCTGTCTCTCGACGATGCAGACGCAGACGCAGCTGGGTGTCGGGTTTTGGGCTTCTCTGGCGAACAGTTGGCCAGCTGTTTGTCATCTGATCGAGCGATAGTGAGGTAGGACCCTTGCCAGGTAGGGGGCTCTGGTGACTTGGTCACATTGCGCTTTGTGTGGTCATTTTCATCTCTCTTGCCCTTTTCTAGCCTGCCTTTCTCCCATGATGCGGAAATCTTCCGCCAGACTTCGCGACCACGCTTGAACCCCAGGCTTTCGAATCGATTCTCGGAGTGGGTTTTCAAACCGTCTGCCTCGCGCCCAGGCCCAGCGATTCTCGATGTTGGCACCAAGATCGTTTTATTGGCTGAGGGCCTCGTCTCCGCATCCATCCGGCAGATGGCTTCCAGAGTATTAATTCGATCCTTCAAAGAAGAAGAAGTTGATCCTTTAGATATACGGGCGCCCACCGTTGATTGGAAGGAACAACGTATAGCACCATTCGTGGATGCTTCATATTGCAACTGTTGTCCGTGGCCAGGCTGAAAGGCCATCTGTGAGTTGCCGTTAGCAGACCACCTATTTGCTGGCCCAGTGTGACTGCGCCTCAGTCGCGAGCCGCTGTTTGGACCAGTATCGTTGGCGCTTTCATCAAACAGCGTCCTCAGACTCGCCACTTTGCTTTGCGCTGTTACGATAGCTGCATTTCCGGAAGACTCCAGTAACCCCGTCATGGAAGTTGCGTGTTCTGTTTGTAGCTTCTCTTTGGATTCGTAGTATTCTGATTGCGGGACCGATGACCTTGTACTATCCCTGCTTATGGACTGGGAGATCTCAAGATCCACCTGATCCGTTGGCCGGTCTGGTGCTTGGGCAATTCCATGCTCCAGATTTGAGGTCGAAGCATCCCGTGAATGGAGGGCATCCATGGCTCGGGGCCAAAGCCCGAAGAGCTTCCCTCTGTCTCTGTGTCCTCTAAAAACGGTGATCTGCTCCGTTTGCGTTTTTTCGCGAGTCGGACGACTTCTCTGGCCAAAGCTATACCCAAGGCTCTTCGAAATGCTACGGGTCCAACTTCCTTCCACTGCCGTTTTTGTTTGGTCACCGGCATTGACAAGCCTTGGGTCCAAAGGTGGCTCTGCTCTACCTTGAGGGCTATCTTCAGGAGCTTCGATATCGTTCGACCTCAGTTTCCAAGTCTTAGTCCGGGGAAGTGTACAGCAAGGTGTCTGTGTCTGTGGCGTGATACCGTAGTTGCTGAAAGTTGGCAGCGGTAGGTTTGTCCTGACGCCGCCTACGCAGACCATCAGCATTCCGTGCAGACCAGCATTACTTAGGGTGTCATACTTACCCATCGGAGCTTCAAAAAGTTGTCGTCTTTCAGCTACAAGACTTCTCTGTCTTCCATCAGCTGACCTTCCAGCTTTGTTAGGCCGCCTCTCTCCAGTAAATGGATCAAAAGTGTAGGTTGTTTGTTCTACAGCTGCTCGAATTCCAGTCTGTAGGCTGTTCTGGGGCTCGCATGACGGACTCCGACGAGGTGAGATCTGGCTCGGGCTTGGGATTGACTGTAACTCCACCACTTCTTCATAGCCTGGCCCAGGTGGAGGTTCCTTTGCAGGACCAGATTTGACCGAGAAACCTATCTCCTTACGGACAGCGCGGTTCTCGGCTGGCGAACGAGGCACTTCTACGCTCGACGCACCATGGCTGGCAGTAGCTTGTGTCTCGAGATCAGTCATTATGTCAAGTATCTCGAACTTTGATACGACAGCAGCCAAGGGCGGGGTTTTCAGCTGTGTTGGATGTCTAGGCAATTTGTCGTTGAATTGTTCAGTCGTAGTGAACTCATCGGTAGATGTTGCGTTCTCGATGAAGCTTGCACCTGGTTGTTGTTGTGAAACACCTGATGCTTCGTCTGTTTCTTTGCTCTTGGGAGAGAGTCGAAGAGGTGCGGGCTTCATGTCTCCCCGTACAAAGTCCTTTGGCGACGAGCATCTTGCCTGTGTAGGTGATCCCGGCAGGTGGCTCTCCATGGGAACGCGTTTTGGAAGAGAGTACTGGCAAGTCGTGTGGCAAGGAACAACAAGGCAATAGAATTCTCACCGTATAAGGACCAACAAGTTATGTATTGACGTACGAATCAGGTCGTGATGAAAATGAATGCTGGAGTGACAGTGTTCGGTCGCCAGGTAGCGTCATTAGACCATGCACTTGCCCTGGCCGAGCAAAAGCTCTCCAGCCATACGCATTGGTAGACTCCTTCTTCTTCATACACGGTAACCAAGTCTAGTACGAGGCAGGAGACCCTTGGATATGTCCTACAGCCTCTACTTTCGTCCTTGGTTGATGGAGCCGCGCTTTCCGTTCAACTCGGGTAGTGCGGATCAGATCGGAAGGTACCTACTCGAAGATTGTCATTGGTCCTCGAGGTTTCAGTCATACATGACGCAGACAGAAACAACCGATTCGACGCTTGAAATAAACCTATATCACAATACAGAAGTGACATACAAGCAATTTCATAAGTCGAAGACACTCTGTTAATTTCAGATTACGTCTTTTGGGGCCAAGGTAGGGAAGCACAAGAACATGCCTATCATATAGCTGGGAATGACTTGAATCTCTGCGATGAAGCAACTATCGATGAATTTGCTATTCCACAAGTGAATGAAGCAACTGTGGATTAATCATTTAGGTAGCGAAACATGACCATGAATAGCCGTGGTGAGGCAAGCTCACGAATTTCAGTACACGATCATCTGCGTCTGTTCTGGCCAAGGCAGACAACACATGAAATCAACGATTGGCTGAGACTCGCTCTTCATAAAATCTCGCCTCTCGATTCTTTCTGACGGATCCCTTCTCGAGATTGTCACCTTCGATTCGTTGCCACTCGACGTCGATCAAGTCACTGCCGCTAGTCTGATAGTGTTGGCGGTGATGGCTGGACTTCATGTGCCAGATAACGGCCATATAACGGCACCGCCCCCATTCCTGTATATTCGAGGTCGTGCCCCAGTGGTTAGAGGTGTCTAAGGAGGAGCAACTAACATGCCGCACAGAAAACCGGCTGCGACTCTCCTCGCGAGGTACTGATCGAGGCGCGAGAAGAAAGCTAACAGGCTGCCTGGAGGTAGAAAGACGACGACCAACGTATAGGTTGATGAGCCCGACTCGAGGCCTAGCTAGGAGCCTCAATTTCAAGAAAGCAACGATGACTATAAGGGAATCGAATAAAATCAACATGACTCCGAGCATAAAGTGTCGCGCGAGTCCACACACCGGATATGATCATCAGAATCCCTGTGTAATGGTTGATACTTCCATCACATTTGGTCATTACCTCATTGGGAGAATGTCTCGGTTCTTGACCAGACGTATATTATTCTTGTCCGTATCAAAAATGTCTCCAGTACGAGAATTTGACCAAGAAGTTGATATCAGGCATACCTGCAGTGCCATTCAAGAAAGTTAATAGTCGGCTCTTTCAGGACTGATGGCAATATTACTGAAAGTGAAGCAAGACTTCCTTGCGCGTTACTCTCGCTCCTGCAATGAGATTCGGTATTCTTGTAAATACGAGTATTTGCTCACATTGCTACATGCAATTCTCAACCTGTGATCTCACGTATAGTAAGTGAGTAGGCTGAAATTGATGATAAAGCAGCTCTATTGGAAGACCTTAGCCGTAAAGTACCGAGGGCGTAAGACGAAAGATGCAAGTAAGATAGTCACAAACAAACCGTATGGCAGCAAGGTGTTGAATACACTGTTCACAGGTCAGATGGTTCAAGACAACGGCATATGGTCTCGTTAAAAAATCGGTCAGACTGCACTGCCAGGGATCAATTGTTATTGCAAATGACGCCAGATACATTGCTCTGTCGCATGTCACATGTCACAATGCCTGAGATAGTCAGATTAGAAAATAAGTCGGGCCATAATACAGCAGCTAAGAGCCACATGCCTAGCTTGTGGCAGCCCAACTTAGCTTGGCTCACTTATTCTGTCCATTCGAACTCTGACGGCCCGTGTCCTGGCTAGACAAACCAGCTAGACCGCGAGACATGGCCGGCCCGGGCTGTTGTTCACTATTCGGGTAGAAGGGACTGCCCATGGGATCGACAGAGCGACGTATAATGCTCCCATGTACCTCCCATCCAAATCAGAAATGGGCGCGTCCGTGTTGACCGTAACTTGGTTGTTGGCTTGACGTCTGGCCAGAGCAGGTGTGGCAGTCTCAAAGCAGCTGTATGCCAGAGTCAATCTGCCTTCCATCATAATTTCTTGGTGGGGGCTGGAACCAGGAGATCGACCTGACATTATCAGCCGCTGCTGACGCAATTGGTGAGCGCACCCCCCCCCCCCCCCCCTCACCAACCCTGTGGCGGCTCAGCAGGCTGGCACTCCTGCCTCTGACCAAGCTCGCAGATTGGCTTGAACATACTGTTTCACTTACAGCAAACGAACAGGTGAAAATACCCAAAGCCGCAATGGGTTCTCCTAGTTATTAGGCTTGAAGAGCCACGAGGTCTATGCAGTCATGTAGTCTACTTAAGCGTTTGCCGTTCACCAGAGGCTATACTTTGGCTAGTCGGGTAGGATGGTGCGATGTTGACGGATGAGGCGTAAGGGGGAGGCAAGAATCCTGAAGCTCAAGCCTCACCGTCAGGTCCATGAGTCAAAATAGTTGCCCGGATGTCGCAAGGCAGTTGAGAGTCGTCAAACGCCTGACGCACTTGACGTCTGCCTCCGTCCCGTGAGACCCACTCACACATCCGACCCGGCCGCTGGCCCCGATTCCCCACTTCCGGTGCGGGGACATAGCTTCTGCACCCCGACGCAACGGGTCTCTACCCAATCGTCGGGTTATCGGGCAGCATAATGAGATCAGAGACTGTGCTCACCAGGGTAAATGCACGATCGTTATTTTGGCACATTGCTGTCTCAGGAATTTCCAACTTGGTCGGGTGGTTGGTCCTCGTCAGGACTTCACGCCATGAAATAGGAAACGATAAATCCGAAAACATTCCTCAGCCGTCTGTCATTCCGGGAACAGGTGACAACCTGACAGGCGGAGCGGGTCAACCTGGTCTGGACTGAGACAAGAAGACAACATATTGAGGCCCGTATGACCAATCTCTCAATGCGAAGATTGTGAGAGCCTAGCCCTCTTAATGTCTCTCGTTGACGTTTTAGCGTCTTTCCAGCTTGGCACTCGGCCGTCCAACATCCCTTACTTTCCAATTCCCTATTAGCCGACACTAATCCGCCTTTTCTGTAACCGCATTTCGTCCGCGCTCCGTTTGAGTCTTGAAAAGCCGGTTCTAAGACCAATCCGGTAGCTCACGATGCAGTGGCTTGCACACACGATCCGCCTTCCGCCCGAAAGCTCGCCAGACGGCGGATGCTTGCATAGCCAGTGAGGGGCATTTTTCTGACGAGATGGACCCTGTCATGACCGAATTCCACGTGTCTAAGACAATCCACCCCAAAGCTTCGACCTTGTCTCCTTGATGCCTCCTCTCGGGGTTTTCCCATTCATCACGACTAAAGCAGCGACCTCGTCCGTGTAAGATCTCGACCTGCGTCAGATTCGCGACGCCTTGTCTTTGAAATCTTGCCTCTTGGCTCAACCAGCTCAATGGGTGAATCAGAGACAACTGCCGCAACGTCTGACATGTAGGCTAAGCTCGAGTTGAACGATTGAGCGAAATACCCTTCTTTTCTGGACCACAACCTTCACCGGCAAGCGTTACTTGCGACCACCTCTCCATTCTGACTAAAGCGCGGAGCCATCTCCGATCAACGCCAAAGAGCTGAGCAGAGCTTCGCCAATTGTCGACGCCATTACAGCTCTTTGGCGAAATCAAGCACGCATCTAGATTAGGCTCAGCCAACTCGTCATGTTCCTCCACTCATGGGCACCCTCCTTGTTCCCTCTGTAGCTCAAGGTCTAGATAATGGCTTGTCTGTGTCTATTGTCACGGCCGCATTGACGGAAAGCCTCCTGCGCCTCCCGGTCTAGATCCTTAACTAGATCCTATGATATGGGTGGGGTTTTGACAGTAGGCATTCAGAGTGAATGATAAAAGATCGCCATAGCCTGCTTCACCTTGCCCTCTTCTCCTAGACTTGCCGTCATTACTTCTTCTCATGTACGCCTGCATACCTGGCTTTTCTGCTCTTCCTTTAGAGCTATTAGCTTTCGGCCTATTTCCTAGCCCCCACTCCAGCTTTCGCTGGGTGAACTTTGATTTTTGACCAGAATTCCACGACATCATTAGCCGGTTTTATCAAATTTTGGGTAACCAGTATCGCTCCCTCTTTTAATTCTATTTGAAATCTCATTTTTTTACACGCCGGTTTATCGTTTTCGCCACAACTCCTATCATTGCCCATCATGAAAGTAAGCAAGCAACTTCTCGTTGGGCTCTGGGCAGGCGGCAAAGCGGCTGCTTTCTTCATCATGCCCTGTTCAAAACCAGTGGTTATTGAGCGCGCCGATCCCATTGTCAACCCGGGAGCTCTCTCAGGGCATGTTCATACCATCATGGGTGGTAATGGCTTCGACTTCAGTATGACTTATGAGCAGGCTCGTGCTGCCACTTGCTCAACGTGCAAGGTGACTGCCGATTTAAGCAACTACTGGACTCCAACCCTCTACTATCAAGGCCAAGACGGCAAATTCACTAGTGTTTCCCAGTCCGGAGGCATGCTTGCCTACTATTTGTGAGTAACGATGTAGCACAACGAGAGAAGCCAGAGAACTGACCATTATTCCAGGTTCCGCCAGGACGCCAAGGATCCGGAATACAGCAAAGGGCTCATCGCTTATCCCAAGGGCTTTCGAATGCTAGCGGGCGACCCAAAGCTTCGAAGCTACAACAATACCCTCGAGCAGCGGGCCATCTCCTACGTGTGCTTGGGCAACAGCGGCCCTGCAACGAGCGAGCTTCCCAATCGTAACTGTCCGAATGGCCTCCGTCTTCAAATAATATTCCCTGCATGCTGGGACGGTGTCAACCTCGATTCACCTGACCACAAAAGCCACATGGCGTACCCGGATCGCCTTGATAACGGAAAATGTCCTACAACTCACCCCAAGAGATTCGTTACGTGAGATTACACCAGGGAACTCATGACCACAAGGTGCTGATTTGTCTGCCAGTCTATTCTACGAAGTGATATTTAGCGTCAATGATTTCAAGGACAAATGGTACGGAGATAAGCAACCGTTTGTGTTGTCTAATGGGTCAGCATCTCACCTTCACTTTCGTACAAAAAAAAATCTGCTTACACTACCTAGTGATCCGACTGGATATGGCTTGCACGGCGATTTCATCAATGGATGGGACGTCAATGTACTCCAATCGGCTATCACACAATGCACCGACAACGGTGGTAGCATCGAGAAATGCCCTGTTTTCCAGTTTTTTGACGACGAGACCCGAAGGAACTGCCAAGTCCCCGTCAAGGTTGACGAGCAAGTTCAGGGCCAGTTTGATAAGTTGCCTGGTTGCAACAGCGTTCAACGAGGCCCAGGCAACGCTGTGGCAGAATCAGGCTGCGGTGCAGCGACCCAGATCTCGGCACCCAAGTGGGGTTACAAGGACGTGACAAGTACTCTCAAGTACAAATATCTGGGCTGTGGCCGTGATCCGGCTGGACAGACTAGGACGCTCCAGGGCGCCAAGACGTCCGGCGATAGCATGACGGTTGATACATGTATCAAGTACTGTGACGGAAAGGGCTTTCAGTATGCCGGCCTTGAATATGCGAAAGAATGCTGGTGCGGGAACTCGGTAGCTGATGATCGGAAGCCCAAAAAGGGGCTCTGGGGAGCTTGCGATATGCCCTGTGGGGGTAGCAAGACGGAGATGTGCGGCGGCTGGGCTGCGATGTCTCTCTATCAGAAGTGCAACGGGACTTGCACGAACGCGGAGTTGATGTGATCAAAGATAATCGGTAGAGCCGAGGAAGTTTTATCGCGTACAACAGATTTAGTTAACACGGTTGCGTACCGCCTAATTGATTGCCATCATCGCACTGCTTGCTTAAACTGCTGGTGTCCTAATCGATAGAGGGCGAGCTAGGCACACGAGGTAGACTTGCGACACTGTTGGAGCAACCGCCGTACAGACTCCCTGTTGGTTGAACATATTCACGGCACAAGTGCATCCAAATAAACGATTATTGCGTCAGAGAGAGATTCATTAAAGCCAGCCGGTGCAGGCCGTGGCGTTGAGGTCAACACCAGACCTCAGATGCCATTCCCCATAGCCTCGAGGCTACCTTTCTTCGAGTATTGTACAGCCAGCTTCTATTGCGGCAAAAAGGACGTAATTATACATGAGCCGTCATTCGATTGTAGAAAGATCTTTATTGACTGCGAAATCGAAGCGTCAGCGACCTTGAATTGGGGCTCAAGGTGATGAGCAACTTACGGAGGAAGAAGGAACTCGCCCCAGGAGCTGGAGAGGAAAGTCACAGCTGCCTGCACCGGACGTTAGCAGGGCTCACAGATCAGGGGTCTGGAAGCGCATGGTGACTTACGCCGAAGATGGCGACGCTGCGCACGATGGGTGCATTCTCAGAGGAAGTCAACGCATCGTATGTTGATCTGAAGTAACCCTTGGGCTGACGAGAGCGCTGGTTGTCTCTCTGGACGACGATTCTCTTGGCAGGCATGACGAATAATTGGATTTGAAGACGCAAAGGAAGAACGATTTACGAGTTGAGCTCGGAGATGTGGTGTACGGTGATGTGATGGTAGCAAGGGGCGGGATGTGAGGTCGTAAACGCGATCGGTCGGCTCGACTTCACGCGGAAAGCGTACAGGGCCGAAATTTTTTGACTGGGCGTCGTCAACTACGCGCAAGCCACATATGGCAAGGCCTTGTTGTGGCTGAGGTGGAGATGATAGCTCTTATCGGAGATCAGATAAAGCGCTTGATAGAGTACCTAAGGTAATTAGTACCTCTACCTACCTTGATCTCCACTACCCTTTCACTCGGCTTAGGTAATGTTTCTACGTATCCGTACTACGTACAGACGTCCCAATCGCCTTGCCAGTCTGCTCAACAACTTATACATCACTACCCCACGTCGCGAGAACCTTGAAGGGGCTGGACTCTGTTTAAGACTCAGGGCATTTCTGCGTGGGCAATGCGCAAAGCAGCATCGACTCTGGAGTAACCGGCGACAGTACTTAGACATAATGACTGACACTCCGCAGCCTGTGGGTCCTGGCGGCTTCTTTCCATTGCAATCTCTCCCTTCACCTGCTCCTAGCAGTGCCTCCGCGCGCTCAAGTGCGGCTTTGCCGCATCCCCGCGCCAGATCGCTCCGACCAGGTTCCAACAAGGAAGAGACGGTACGCCGGTACATTGAGGAACGTCTCGCCATTGTCAATCGTCGTTATGTCAAGAAGCATGGCAGTGCCGAGCCCGGCGACGATGTCATAGGCTACAAGAGCTTTACGGAGCTTTGCAAGGACCTACATAACGTCATCGACGTCCTATGGCTGTCCGGAACACGTGAGGAACTAGCCCGTCTCCCTCGAAAATCGGCGTTGCTTTGAGTTAAACGCCGGTACTATTGCTGACTCTGTCTTGTAGCGAGCATACAGATTCCCTTCCTCTTGAATATTGCCAGCGACTTCACGCAATGGATTGACGCCTTTACTCCTTCCCCGAGAGCTACCTTCTCCGTCTTGAAAAAGCTGGACCATTGCTTCGCAAGCCTCTTAATCGGCCGCGATATCGAGACCAAAGACACCTTGCCTGGCTTTGAGAACGGCATGAGAGCTGGCATGTCTACGACAGATATGGTGCGATGCCGTAGCTCTGTGGAGCAGACAAGACTGGTCATTGTGGAGGTCCTTAGCAAGGAGTCCGACGGAGACGACGGCACAAAAGGTGACGAGACAGAAGCAAATTCCATGAATAGCGACACTGAACTGGAAGATGCGACGGACACGACGTGGAGCGAAGACGAGGACAGTCTCTACATGGACGCAGCGCGAGTCTATGAGCACACCATCGTGCGGCTAGGTGAGAAGCTGGGAGATGTATTTGGACCCGCGGTTCCGGGCGCGAGCGGTAATACCATCTGCTCTGCAGGTTGAATACGGCCTACACGGCCCAGCAAGTCCTTACGCGGGCCTCGACTTACAAATCTATCCAACTACGGCGAGCAGGCCGCAGTAAGAACATAGATACCTTCTACCCAGAAACTGCATATTGCGGGCTGCCTGATTTTGGTCAGCGAGGAATCTAGCCCACTACGCCACGGAACAGTTCATGGAGCTGGTCCTGCCAGGACCCGGCAATGCGACTCACAAGCAGATGAAATTATCGCGTTGAAGTACCAGCAACCATGGTTTGCCAGTTTTTCAAGCACATGACAGCATTGCAGGATAAATAGTACTGCGATTGATGCTCTGTTGGTTTACACGGCGTGGGTTCGCTGCACCGTAACAAAACGTCTCATTTTTACTTCGGGAGAGAGGTCGACAACAGTTTCATGGAAGAAGGTAGCACATGAATGATACAGTCACGCATTCTGACATAAGGCATGGCTATGCGTAATGGGGTGATGCGATGACTGGACAATGACAGCCACAATCAACCCCCGTGCTTGAAACACGTGATAGCTGTAGTGGTTCATCCGAGAACGATAACGCAGTTCGTTTCCATTGCGGGAGTCTTCAGTTTCATGAATGGGGGCACAAAAGTTGCAGTGGCGGAGGTGGCACTCAACGGCGCTGAAGCATTGTGGAAATTCTTTTTGGGCGACGAGGCGAGCGTGCGATGGAAGGCATTCGCTTATCGTACACTAGAGCTGCATCTCTTATCCATGAGTACGGATACGCATACCTAGGTACTCCGTACACAGTATTCGTCTGTGAGCGGCCAAGGTAGTCAAGGGCCCATCTCGAGGCCTCCTACAGAATACCCCGTACTGCGTAGAGTTCTGTTGAAGTGCCAACTCAATCGAGCCGGGACTCCTGAGGGGGGAGAAATCTCCGTTGTCCCAGGTGGACGTGGTCCAACTTCCAAGCGGCGCTGGACCCATTTGTGGATTTGGGCCGACGTCTCCCTGTTAAGATACCCTGCCATTTGTTGTCTCAGGGCATGCATTGCCGGTTCAGCACCTGGGCAGCGCTGCCTGTGCCATCCTGGTGCCTGCACTCTTCATGTATGTACAGCTTTTGAATATTCAGGGGCACTTGACGATCCCATCTTGGCGAGAATGGCCCGCTTGCCACACCATTGAGTGCAGCCACACGCAGTTGCACAACTTGATAGGAAATTGAAAAGAAGGAAGGGGGGCAGCCATGGCCATTGGTGATAGCTTGAAGAATTGCAGGAAGCAAAGCTTTTTGCCAGCAGCCTTCTTGTTCAGATTCGTACGAATACATATCGCCTTCCTCACACCAGATATCGACGGATGCTCTGTACACATTGAGTGTGCACAGCAAAATACCAAGACTAAGTCTAAGACTAAGTCTACTGTAAGGTGAGAGTTGAGCCCACCCAATGGACGGAAATCACGGCTCCTGTTACCCCCACGTCCGAAACCCCTAGGTAGTCCTAGTGTACGGAGTACTTCGTACTGTCCTCCCCTTTCGAGGCTCTTTTCTGATTGACCCTGACACCTCTAGGCTCTAGACAAATGCCCCGAGTCCACCTCCTTTTCAAAGTTTTGGTCCTTCCCGACTGGACAATTGACTGCGTTTTCTTCTTCTTTCTGGCCGCAGTGTGGATCTACCAAGTAGTGCCGCGGTGCCCAAATTGAAGGTTATGCAATTGACGCTCGCAGTACCGAGTACAGATGAACCGCCAATGACACCCGTTGGCCAGTGCAGGCGGTATCCGTCGTCGATCCTTGGCTCGGATGCGCCGCCAACGGGCCCCGTCCCTTTTTTTTTTTTCTTTTTTGTGACTGCTCTCAAAGCCCCGTTCTCTCCCATACCACCATGCCTACGGAGTACCAATATCACGTCTGCATATGAGTCCGTGATCGCACCTCAGCCTCTTTTCTTGTCTCCACAGCATTCCATGTGTATGTACGGATATGGATGGACCGATGGAGATCGTTGACGAGTCAATTCTCTAAGAGCCAACCCTCCTGCTCCATTCCCTAGTTAGCTCTTCCTGCTCTGGCTCGCTCTCACGGTTCACTACACAAACCAAGTACGGAGTACCTGCTGGCTTATCCATGGCCACCGTCAACTTCTTTGTCCACATCTTGGTCTCGATCTTGGGCCGGCCCCTATCTCTCTGTCGTCTTGTCCGACGCAGATCAGGACTCCCTGGCCTTGCCTGCTGGCCACGCCCACTACCCGTGAGGAACTCCTCTCTGCAGTTACCTTCACTTTGTATGCTGGAAATAACCCCTGCTTTCCCTGCCATGTATCCATATTCACCTCAGTGCCCTAATGTACCAATCACTACCGTCCGCGATCTATCTGGCAAACCGCAGTTTATGCCCTTGCTCGCCCATTTTTGGCTCTCCTGCTGTGCGGATACTGCGTACTGTAACCCGAGCGGCTGAGCCAGAGTCGACCAAGAAGACTGCGCCGAGTTGCGAAGTAGGCAGGCCATCGTCACCGCCACACTGGGTATTCCTGGCCGCTTCTGGGCGTTTCATCCTGACTCCCCACGTCAATCTCTTTCTCTGCCTTGCCGCCTCTGGACAACTACCCTAATCCAACCATTTGCTATAGCAAGGGCATGGCACAAGCTCCTCCTTACCCGTTGTCACTCATCGCCTGCTCCCGGCATAGCATCCTTGTCGTCCTGCTCCCTAGTCAAGTTGTCCCAATGCAAGGTTGTTCCTCCCAATGTGCGTTGTCTGGACCATTCCCATGTAGGAACTTCTCCTGGCCGTATATATATAGAGGCGACCCAGCCTCGCTGCCCGTTGGCAACTATGTGCTTTTGCCGCCTCTCTCGTTCTCTACCGCACCCACTTTCACTTACTAGGCCCAGTGCCGTTACATTCTTTTCTTGGTGATCACATTCATTTGAATCTCATCGTCCATTCACTTTCATCCCCTGAACGCTCGCAAATAGACGAGATTGAACCCACGGACTTCAATACCAATCCATTCATTCAGTATACTATACGAACAGAGAAAAGAGTCAGTCAGTAACAGCAAATACACGGGACAAAAATGCTTTCCACATACGCCCAACTTCTCTTTTCTCTCACGCCGTTCGTCGGTGCTCTTGTGCCCCCAGCACAAGATGGCATGAGAATCATCTGGTCCGAGACCTTCCAAGGAAACGCCGGCGCACCCCCTCGAAGTGACACATGGAACGTCGCCTTGGCCATCGACACGAACAACGAGGTCCAGACTTACACCGAATCGTCCTGGAACGTCCAAATATCGGGTGGTGAAACCATCCAGCTCATTCCCCGAAAGTCGGCAAGCGGCGTATGGACATCTGCGCGTATCGAGACAAAGGCAGCGTGGACACCTCAGCCGGGAGGGAAGATGCGGGTTCAGTCAATGTTCAGGATGGGCGACAACGCAAATAAGCAGGGCATGTGGCCTGCCTTTTGGATGCTGGGCGATGCCGTTCGCAACGGGGTTCAGTGGCCCCTCTGCGGCGAGCTCGACATCTTTGAACAGATCAACGGCCAGGCCACCGCCACGGGTACCGTTCACTGCCAACAAGAATCCGGCGGCATCTGCAACGAGCCCAGCGGCCGTGGCGTGGCTACTTCGATGCCCGACAACGGTTGGCACACTTGGGCACTGGAGTGGGACCGCACGTCGAACAACTGGGTCACCGAGACCATCACATGGTACCGTGACGGTGTTGTCTTCAACCAGCTCAAGGGCAGCGATATTGGTGACGAAGGCATCTGGGCGACCCTTTGTCACATGCCTTACTATGTGCTTATGAATGTAGCAGTTGGTATGTTTCTCGCTCCTTTCGCCTCGGTTGACCGTTTGCCGTACATGAGAATGCTAACCAGTTTCAGGCGGCACGTTGCCGGGTTCTCCTACCGACGCTACTCAGGATGGCTATGGAAGCATGATGGAGATCGGATACCTCACGGTATACCAGTCGCCTTGAGTGCAGCTGCCTCTAATGGCTGTATTCGTAATGAGCTTGGCCTCGCAGACACCGCCCTCACATATCTCCGTCATATCATGAACTCCGGCCATCACATAGTGCCCCAACGTCCGATCTCGTACATTCGAGTCGCACATGGCTCCTTTGGCACACTCCTCCTTTTCTCAAGACAGGATAATTCTTGCCCCTTTGGTATATACCCCTTTTTGGAAAGCGATATATAGCGGCTGTCTTTACACTCATACGTTCTGCTCCCCCATCTGCGTCTGTTTTTCAAGCCTGCGGACCTGAACAGGCGTAGAGGAGGAGCGACTTCTTAGGTTTTACCGCCTATATAGTAGTCAATGTTGAAATCCAACACGGGAATCCTTCCCCGTTATCTAAACCTCCAGAACACAAGTATCGCTACATTTGATGACAATTATGAGAGCGGATGCAGACCATTTGCTCGTATAACTCACTGTGACGTGCCTAGGTAGACTCGAATTCTGCAACATTTCCTACACAGCCGGTTTGTTGTGTAGATTATAGATATACGTAGCCAACGCAGATACTAATCAACGTCTTCTTAAGATCGAGAATATTATACACCATCTCATCAAAGCAGCAAATATACGATGGCACAGCCAGCAATCCACCTCTTCCACAAGGCTGCTGCGCATCCATACTGCCGAGAACACACCCTTGGATCTTGGATCTTGGATCTTAGATTCTAGATCTTAGATCTTAGATCTTAGACCCTCGATCAGAGTTCAAGAGGAACAAGAAGCTCGGTGCTAGCCTCTGGATGTCCCCGCTGATGACCCGTCGCATGGCCGACCCCAGATTGCAGATCGACAACCGTTGCGTCCGCCGCCGCATCCGGCCACCGGCACGTATTACTACTATGATTATTAATGAAAAACAAAAAGGCCCCCGCCCCGCGTCTAATTCCCCGAGATTACCATTGGCAAAATGTCCGACTTGTATGTAGATCACGGCCACGCCTGCGGCCTCGGTGCTCGACCCGGGCCCGGTGCGGTGCGGGGATCTCCCTTGCCCAGTGAGGAACTTAGAGCTCAGGGTAGACCAGAAGATGTTGGACCGGCCTCTCTGAGCCGTGCGACCACATGTGAAAGCCCCACGACCACAGATACGTTGGCGTTCACAGTCAGAAGGCTCCGATTATTGTGGGCGGTATCAAACGCCCCCAAAGATGGAAGGGTTTCTGCACATTGAGGCTTGCCTTCCCTCCTTCGATCATGCTTCGGAAACATTCTGAGAAGAAGACATGATCGTGATCGCCATGATCAATGCAGTAGTGCTGGTGATGTTTTTACGAATAATTGACAGGGATGCCAGAGAGAACTTTAATATTTGATGGCATCCAGGATATGAAAAAAGATGGATTGATCCTCGCAAACCAATATCGCACCGCGCCACAGTATAATCTGACAGGACCCAGGGTAAACGACGATAGCAGGACGACGCTGGTGATCGAACGTGTCCCCGCCCTTCTAGTAAATACAATGCTCTCAACTCAATCCACAACCGGTACAACTGCCCCCTTTTGATCTCTCTTGTCACCTCTTTTGCAAATCAACACTGATGGGTCCACCAAACGAAACCGGGCTCTGCATTCGCACATCGTATGCCACGTACAATCAATGATTACGCCCACTGGTTCGATAGGAAAGGCACCCGACGAAACTTTGCGAACCCTGCCAGTAGAACTCCAGAACCAATGATCAAGAATTCTCGCAAGCGGTCCGTCCACCAACGACCGACAAGGAGAAAAGTAACGTGAAGTTTGTATGCGTGTTACCCCAGGCACATGCACGCAAGGGAATTAAATCGCCGTCGAAAACGAGGCTGTGCTGAACAGCGAAACGACTCATTGGAATATGCCGCCAATGGGGCAATCCGTCAAGTGTTTGCCACACATAAACGTCGTCCAAAGGCGATTGGTAAATCAAAGCATATGAAATAGGAAAGTGACAGGCTCGATGAGGCGGCGAGAGTTAAGCCCGACTGCTTTATCTTGACTGCAATTGTCGAGCAAATCCTCCTGAAAGTTACAGTTGGCAACATGCCAACAAATCGATGTGGGCTCAGTCCGATTTGATGTATTCTAGACTGTAAAAACCACTTTTTTTTTGGTATTCTGAGCGCATCCATAAATCAAATGGAGATAGCCATGCTTCGCAAATACCATGCCGCTCGACCGTACAACGGCGAGGCATGGAGAAATCAGGCTGGGGAATCGACACAACGCCTAACGCACAACTGAGGCATGACACAGACGAGAGGGAATCGTACACCTAAAAGTCAGGCTTGGGAACCGTCTAGTCTGCGCCAATTTCGTTGGCGCCTTCCATGCCAAATGAACCCGTGTTGAAATCAAAGGCCTGATTGTCGCCGTCTTCGTGTAGAAATGAGTCAAAGTCGAAGTCGTTAAGAACATTGTCCGAGACCAACGGGTCGGCGAATGCCATAGCACCGAAGTCCACCATTGGGTTCGTGTTGTCCATAAACCCTCCGTTCTGGTTGGCATCGTGTTGTGCCTGGGGGGCTACCTGAGGCTGAGGGGCAGGTGCTGGAGCAGCAGCCTGGCCGTTGGGCACGGCTGGCACGGCGGCATTTTGTCCGTTCTTGGTGAAGTTGGCAGTGGTGACAGGAGTGATGGGAGTTGCAGGTGTTGCAGCCTCCGCATCTGCACCGTCGGCGGCTGGTGTAGTGCCACTGTTCAGGTTGTTGTTGCCTGACTTCTTTCCCGCCGCAGCCTGCGCATGTGTTAGTTTTGTTTGGGCAATACGTGTCTTGCCATGTGCTTACCTTTGCCTTTGTGTTCTTGGTATCCTTCTTCTTTGGCGCCGCCTTGTTTGATTGTGACGGAGTCGGGGGAGCCGCTGCGGCCTGTTGAGGCGAGGAAGTGCTCGTCCGGTTGGAGTTGGCGCCAGCTGGTGCAGATGGCGGGGGCATCGACCGTTGCTGCGGTGTACCCTGAACAGATCCCTGAGGACCCTGAGGCACCATCTGACCATTCGGCCCGCCTTGCTGCCACTGCACCGGCTGACCACCTTGGCCGGCCTGCTGAGGCTGTCCCTGCTGCTGAGGTGGCTGCTGCTGCTGCTGCTGTTGCTGCTGGGCTTGCTGCGCCTGTTGCGCCTGTTGCTGCTGTTGCCGGGCGACCATCATCTGCTGCGGGTTCATCTGACCGTTGAACTGCTGACCAGGGTGCGAGCTGGGTGGGCGCATGCCGCCATTCATCTGAGGATTGCCGGCCATGTTCCCATCCATTTGATTGCCCATGCCCTTGAAGAAGTGTGGCGCCATGTTCGGGTCCATTTGGTTGCCCATGAAGTTCATAGGGTTGGGAGAGCCACGAGATTGAGCGCCCTCGGGCAGCGGCGAAGGAATGCCAGCGTTGTTCATCTGCGGGGTGCCTCTCTTCATCTGCTCCGTTGGGTTTGGTGAAGCTCCGGTTCTGGCGCCTTGGGGAGATGTCTCCGGGAAAGGCTGGCCATTGGGACCAGGAGGTGCGCCAGGGCCGCCAGGCCCGGCGGGACCGTCTCTGGGCATGGCACCTCCGCCCATGTTATCTTGTTCCTGGCGGGCCATCATGAGCCTTTTCTTATTCTGCTGCTCCAGAAGCATTAGCTGCATTTGATAGTCCTGCAGAGCGTGGTTACTTCCACCACCGGCTTGGGCACCGCCAGGGCCAGGCCGAATTCCTCCTGGACCCATTTCTCCAGCGTTGTAGTACGCAGCTAGCCCGGCACCTTCTTGGCCTTGAGCCATCATGGGTGAGCCCTGGCCCTGGGGGCCGGGCGCGTTAGGCATGGTTTTGTTAGGCATCTGGCTAGCCTGATGCTGTTGGAGGTTTGCCGCATATGTAGCAATGGACTTAGCTTGGA